AATCAAGAGTTGGACACATAACCAATTGAGCATCTGGGAGCCCTGAGGAAGTTCCTTTCTATTTCTAGTTTGGTGAAAATGTTTATCAGAAAAGGATGTTTGGGTTTATCAAATGCTTTTTCTGTATCTACTGAAGTGATGATATAGTTTCATTTTTAAGTTTGTGGTGAATTTCATTGACTGATTTCTGAATGTCAAACCAACCTTGCATTCCTAGGATAAACCCCACTTGGTCATCACATGTTATCCTTTTTATGTATTTTTGGATTCAATTTACTAAAATTTTGTTTAGAGATTTTGCATCTATGTTCATGATGGTTATTGGTGTATAGTTTTCTTATAATGTTCCTGTTTGGTTTTTGTATTAGAGTAATATGATTTCATAGAATGAATGAGGAAATATCCTCTCCTTTTTTAATTTTCTGGAAGAATTGGTGAGAGCTTGGTATTTTTTCTTTTTGAGATATTTGTTAGAATTCAAAAGTAAAGCCATCTTATGCTGGAGGGTTTTTTTTGTGGAAATGTTGTTGACTATATATTTAATATTCAGTTTATCTATTTCTTTACAAGTGTGGTTTGGTAGTTTGTATTTTTCAAGAAATTTGACTATTTTATCAGAGTTGTTGAAATTGTTGGCATAATATTGTTTATAATATTTCCTTCCCATACTTTTAACATCTGTAGTATCCGTAACTAGGTAACTTCGTACATTCCTGATATTGGTAGTGTTTTCTTTTTTCTCTCCAAGTCAACCTAGCTATAGATTCTTCTTCCTTTTAAGTCTTGTCAAGGAACCAGCTTTTGCTTTTATAAAGTTTCTTTGTTATTTTTCTATTTCACTGATTTCCACTAATATATCATTTTCTTTCTTATAATTACTTTGTGTTTTATTTGCTCTACTATTACTAGTTTCTGAAGGTGAAAACTGAGATCATAGTTTTAAGATCTTTCCTTTTGGGCAGCCCAGGTGGCTCAGTGGTTTAGTGCCACCTTCAGCCTAGGGCCTGATCTTGGAGACCTGGGATCAAGTCCCACGTCTGGCTGCCTGCTTGGAGCCTGTTTCTCCCTCTGCCTGTATCTGTCTGTCTGTCTGTCTGTCTCTCTCTGTGTGTCTCAAATAAATAAATAAATAAATAAATAAATAAATAAATAAATAAAATATTTTTTTAAAAAAGATCTTTCCTTTTTTTCTAATATAGGCTTTTATTGTGATAGTTTTCCCCATAAATACTTCTCAAGTGGTGTCCACAAATTTTGTTATGTTGTATTTTCTTTATCTTACAGTACAGAATACTTTCTAATTTCCCTTTTGATTTCATCTTTGACCCATGGCATATTTAGAAGAGTGTTATTTAGTTTGCAAATATTTGGGGATTTTCCAGGTATCTTTCCACTATTTATTTTTCTGAATAGTAATTGCATTATGACAGAGAACATACTTTTTTGACTTGAATAATTAACATTTATTGGGATTTCTTTTATGATTCAGAATATGGTTTATCTTGGTTATATATGCACTTTAAAATAATTTATACTTTTTGTTGGGTAGAGTTCTATGAAGTTCAGTTAGGTAAAACTAATAGATAATGTTGTTCAAATCTTCAATATCCTTACTAATTTTTTGTCCACTTGTTTTACCAATTATTGAGATATAAAACCATCTATAATTGTGGTTTTGTTCATTTTTTCCTGCAGTCTTTTTTTTAATCCTTTTCATTTGTTTTGAAGCTGATACATGCATAAATATTTAGGACTGTCAGGTGTTCTTGATTAACTAACTCCTTTACCATTGTGAAGTACCATCTCTATTTCTTATCTTAAAATGTATTGTGTCTGGTATTAATACAACCACTCCAGATTTTTAAAAATTAAGTATTCATGGTTTATCTTTTTTTCATCCTTTTACTTATAACTTATCTGTGGTTCTCTGCCTTCTATTCAGTGAATTGAAATTTTTATGATTCCATTTCACCTCTTGCTGACTGATTAGCTATAAATCTTTTTGAAAATGTTATTTTAGTGCTTGCTTTAGGATTTGCTATGTACATCTTTAATTAAATAAAGTCTATCTTTGGGGCAGCCCGGGTGGCTCAGCGGTTTAGCTCCGCCTTCAGCCCAGGGCCTGATCCTGGAGTCTCGGGATCGAGTCCCACATCGGGCTCCATGTGTGGAGCCTGCTTCTCCCTCCGCCTATGTCTCTGCCTCTCTCTCTCTCTCTCTCTCTCTCTCTCTGTCTCTCATAAATAAATAAAATCTTTTAAAAAAATAAAGTCTATCTTTAAGTGATATTATATCACTTCATGTGGGGTATAAAAATCTTCCAACAGGATAACTTCCATTTTACCTTTTTTAGCCTTTATGCTATTGTTTTCATGCATTTCATCTTGGTGTATATTACAAACCCCACTGTATATTGTTACTGTTTTTGTTTAAATAGTCAGTTACCATTTAAAAAGATGTAAATAACATGGAAACTCATCTTATATATTTACTATGTAATTACCATTTCCAATGGGACATTTGCTGTCATTTTCTTTGTTCCTCTGTTCATGATATGTTCTTTTAAAACTTAAAAAACTGCTTAAAACTGGCAGCTTAAAAGCTTTTCTCTTTGTCACCTGTTTTAAGCAGTTGGATCATGATGTACGGTAGCATAATTTTCTTCATGTTTCTTGTGCTTCAGGTCATTGAGCTTCTCGAATTTGAGAGAAAATTCTACCATGTTTTATTCAAATACTTTTTTGGTCTTTCTTTCTCCTCTTCTTTAAGGAATCCATTTACATGTATAGTAAGATGTTTGAAATTGTTCCAAAATTAACTAATGTTCTATTTTTTATTGTTGATTATTTGGTTTATTTCTGTCATGGTTTCATTTTGGATAATTTCTATTGCTGTCTTTAAGTTCACCAATCTTTTCTTTATTGTATAACCTTCCTTTAATCTTATCCAGTATATTTTCTCAGTCAGGTTCACCTCTAAAATTTGATTTATATTCTTTCTATATCACTTGTAGCTTTTCTTATATTTTTATTTTTTTGTTTTTATTATTTTTATTCAAGTATTATTAACATTCAGTGTTGTATTAGTTTCAGGTGTACAATATAATGATCCAACAATTCAACTTTCTCAGTGCTCATCAATATAAGTGTAGTCTTTGTCCTCTTTATCTATTTCACCTATCTTCCCCATCCACCTCCTCTCAGGCAACCACCAGTTTGTTCTCTGTATTTTAGAGACTGATTTTTGCGTGTGTGTCTCTTTTTAAAATTTGTTTTGTTTCTCAAATTCCACATCCAAGCGAAATCATATGGTATTTGTCTTTCTCTGATTTACTTCTTTTAGCATTATATCTTCTAGGTCCATCCATGTTGTTACAAGTGGCAAGATCTCATTCTTTTTATGGCTGAGTAATATATACATATATATAAATATATATACTGTTTCTTCTTTATCCATTCATCAGTCAATGAATACTTGAGTGGCTTTCATATCTTGTCTGTTGTGAGTAATGCTGCAAGAAACATAGGGGTGCACACATCTCTTCAAATTAGTGTTTGGGTATTCTTTGGGTAAATACCCAGTAGTAGTAGAATTACTGGATCATATGGTAATTCTTCTTTAAATTTTTGAGGAACTTCTGTACTGTTTCCCACAGTGGCTGACCTTGTATTTTTGAACACGTACAATATAGTTATAACTGTTTTAATACTCTTCTTCTTAAATTCTAACTTCTATATAAGTTCTGAATTAGTTTCAATTGATTGTTTTTTTTCATTATATGTTCTATCATCTGCTTCTGCACATGCCTGCTTCTTTAAAAATTATGTCATACAAAAAAATAAAAATTACATCATACATATTTACACTAAAAATTATTGTTTATTTGAAATTTATTATTATTTTTAAAGATTTTATTTATCCATTTGAGAGAGAGAGAGAAAGAGCATGAGCAGGGTGAGGGGCAGAGGGAGGAGCAGATTCCCTGCTGAGCAGGGAGCCCCATGTGGGGCTCGATCCCAGGACCCCGAGATCATGACCTGAGCTGAAAGCAGCCACTCAACTGACTGAGCCACCCAGGCACCCCTGTTTATCTGAAAGTTAAGTTTAGCTAGGAATCCTATATTTCTCTGGCAACCCAAGATCCCCATGGCTTCTCCAGACCCTTGTCTCCTTGATTTGGGGAATCCTCTAGACTCTGCTTGAGTTCTCACTCACTGTGCTGCAGCCTGAATCTGTCACAGTAGTAAACTGGTGCCACTGTAGGACTTATCTTTGTCCTCTGTCTCTCAGGGACAGAGTCTAAGTTGTCTGATATTCATTGTATTGAAATCCAGTGTTTTGTGTACTTTGTCCATTTTTTGATTGTTTAACCCAGGAGAGTAAGTCTGGCTCCTCTTACTCTGTCTTGGCTGGGGATGGAAGTCCCTCTCCAGAGGCTATTATTTTTAGCCAGTGGCCAAAACATGGTGCTGTTGGGGGCCAAAGCTGTGTGTTCAGTCTGTTGGCTTTATTGAGTTTGTTGGCTTTGTTGGCTTTGTTCCACAGTTTTGTGCAATCAGCTACCTAGAAAAAAGAATGCTTTGGATCACAGGTAATATCTGCTGACTGTGAGGATGACTCAGCACAGTTAGGAAACTGGTTAGAAGTGTACATTTGCTAATAGGAGAATGGGAATGGGCCATGGGCTTACTGCCAAATAAAAGGATAAATCAGGACAGTGCATTATGTTACATTATGTGTCAGATTTTGGACCAAAAGATAGGTGTGGCTGAAGGTCAGTGCTCAAGGGATTGGACACTAATAAGTTTGGAGGGAGGGCCAGGGTGAAAAAGCTGAGAGAGGGTGATCAAACTGGGGTCATAGAAAGACTTTGGAAAATTTTAGTCCTCTGTTTCCCTGTCCAATAATCAATTACATTATTCCTATAAGGGGCAGGGGATCTTTGGAAATAAAAAGAAAAGTATTTCCTCTCTTTTTTTCTTCGGTTTCTCTTGGTCCAGCCATATGTCGCTATCCTCTGGGCATGTCAGGAGGCCACATTCCAGATGAGGACATCACAGCTTCCAGTCAGTGGTCAGAATCCACAGCTGCCAAATATGGAAGGTGAGGATTGATACCCCAAGAAAGCCTGAGTCCTGGGTTGGAATACGTTTTCTGACTCAAGGGACTGAGGAAGAAGAGTAGTATTTGGTGGGAGCTGGAAGGCATGAGGGAAGGACATCAAGTGGGCCTGTCATGTTCTGTATATCTCTCAGGAAGAGAATTCAGGGCTTGGTACTAAATGGTCATCTGGCAACCCCATCCCAACCACAAGACCTTGCCCCACACTGGCCACAACAGATGGGTTCATTGACATGCAGTGGGTTTGCTTTACTTCACCTTCTCACTGTGAGCACCTGCAGGAAGCTGGCGACAGTGGTAGGAGAAGGTGCAGATGAAGTTAAGGCACTGGGAGCTAAGAGACCCGGTCCTCTTCTCAGTGGGTGTCTCTGAAACATCACTCACAGTGCAAAGCATTAAGGTTGTAAGCATATGCTGAGGCCTCCAATAAATTCTTCCCTTCTCTCAAGGATACCTCATAGAAGGGCCACCCTCAACTATAAAGAGTATGGTCGGTTCCTAGTGACCTAATAGCAGGGATCTTCTAAAGCAATAAACACCCTTGTCAAAGACTACTCTGCTTGTTAGAGCACAATCCTCCTCCTCCTGGAATCTAATTCTTTTAGTGTAAAGCGTTGATTTCTGTTAAAATGGAATCTCCCATAAGAAAAGCAATCTTAGTAAACCTTCCCCATAATTTCTTCATATGTGAAAGATTAGAGTGATGGTTGGTGGGGTTGGAAGAGAACAACGAGTAGGTGACATCTGTAAGAAAAGAGACATTCCAGGGAAGAGGGAAAGTGGTAAGAGGTTCCCAAAATAAACCTTATACTTATTTCACAATTTTCCTCACTGGTAGTTTAGTTTAGAGGTAATAAAATGAAACCAGATTATTTACTACTCCCCTGACATGCTCCTACCCCTCACTCTCATCATGGGTTCCCATGGCTTTCTGCTGGGCTGCCATGCCCATCCTGTTGGTTAAAATTCCACTGTGTTACATAACCCACACTGGGGATCTTATGATCCCTCCCTCCTCCTTCCCATAACTTGATATCCAAGTGAGGGGTGGCCACCCTTGTTATGTTGGGACTGAATGTGGAAGGGGGTGGTAAAATGACTCATGGGGGGGTATAGGGTAGAAAAGGTTTCATTTCCCTTGAGACCTTTAAATCAGGATGAGAAGTAAAGACTACATCTGATCTGAAAGCCTCTAGGCCCTGGTTGTGTTTCTCTGGGTTTCATAGTGCCTCAGGGACAGGGGACTTACCACAGGTGATGGCAGTAAGGCTTGAAGGGAGACCAGAAGAGTCTTTTTAGAGTGCGAACCCAGCCTGCTCTCTCCCCTCAGTTGCTTGCTGTGGATTGGTAAACAACTGTAGTTTCATGGTTTCTCTCTGTTTCCCTAACCCTGTGTCTCAAGGCTGGACTCAGAAGAGGGGGATGGAGCCTGGTGCCCTGAGATTCCAGTGGAACCTGATGACTTGAAGGAGTTCCTACAGATTGACTTGCACACCCTGCACTTTATCACTCTGGTGGGGACCCAAGGGCGCCATGCCGGGGGCCATGGCATTGAGTTTGCCCCCATGTACAAGATCAATTACAGTCGGGATGGCACTCGCTGGATCTCTTGGCGGAACCGGCATGGGAAACAGGTAGGAAGAAGAGACATCTAGACCCTGAGATGTCCAGGACCATATTTTGACTTAGGCTAGAAGAGGAAGTACACAGGCTGTCTTGTAGGTATGTGCATCCACACACTGGCATGCCCTTGTAAATGTCTGACCGAGGATGAGGGAGGGTGGACTGGGGCTATTGGGAGGAATATCAAGGCTGCTGAGAAAGCTGAGTGGATACATTCTTCTCCTTCAATTCAAAAGAGAGGGTCCATGAAAGGGGTGATGAGGAAGAGTCAGTGTAACCTCATAGCATCTTCCTGCTCTTTCTCTTCTCTTTCCTCAGGTGCTGGATGGGAATAGTAACCCCTATGACATTTTCCTAAAGGACTTGGAGCCACCCATCGTGGCCAGATTTGTCCGCTTCATTCCAGTCACTGACCACTCCATGAATGTGTGCATGCGGGTGGAGCTTTATGGCTGTGTCTGGCTAGGTAGGTCTCCAGAGACAGAGAGCTTATAGACCTTATAAAAAACCCCAACCCCTGGAAAATAAAGGCAAACAGGTCGGAGAGGTATGGGATTAGTAATCTCTGGAGTGATGTGATTCCCTCTAGGTTAGAGTCAAGAAAGGATATTGTTTCTCCACCAAGATTTGGTGCTATATACTCTAAATGATGCATTCTGATTCATTTCACTGACTGCCACTGAGGAGTGCTCCTCAGCGGTGCTCCTTTTGTGCCCAGATTAAGTCCTATGCAGACACACTGAACACGATTGCATCCTTGCAGTCTTATGTAACTCCCTGTGACAATTGGTCTGAGCAGTAGGTGTATCTCCTTCCTGAGGCACTGACACATTTGTGTTTCCTTTGGCAGATGGCTTGGTGTCTTACAATGCTCCAGCTGGACAGCAGTTTGTACTCCCTGGAGGCTCCATCATTTATCTGAATGATTCTGTCTATGATGGAGCTGTTGGGTACAGGTAAATTCTCGGAAACTTTGGTCATCAGAATGAGAATGTGGCCACTAGAAGAGAGTAATATTTTATTATGGCTTGGGATTAATAATTAATCAACAGGTCAACCAACTGGTGTTTATTTAGACCCTGTATTAGGCATTGTGAGATAATTTAGATGAAGTAAAATATGGAGTTCTGCAAGGAACTTAGATCCTAGTTTGGGAAGACAGAGAAATAGCAAATTACGTAAAACAAAGGCTGAAATTGTGGTATAGCTCTAAGTATGGTAGCCATATTTTTTTGACCCTTAGAACAGGACATAAGGTCTGACTATGGAGACAAAGGACTAGAAGGATTGAAATTATAAGTATACTAAATAAGCTAAGTCATGAAGTTCAGGAAGAATGAGCCCCATACATATAAATGCTTTAGAAGTCGTGAAAAGGAGACTCATAAGGCTTATGAGAGACAAGGAGAGTTTCTAGGATGATATGATTTAGAGTAGAGAAGGCAGGTAGAAGGGAGCAGAGGAAAGGGGTGAGGACAAGAATGGCCTGATTGTAGTAGAAACTCAAGCTGGGACCAGCAGAAAGGACCAGTGGGAAGTCCTGAAATGGACCTATGGAGGGCCATGGTGGAAGAGTATGATTAGACACGGTAGGAATTTAGGGTTGGATGAGAAGTGTTCCCACTTATCTCACCTCACTCTGAGCCTTGCCATTCTTCTTCTAGTCCACTTCAACACTTTTCTCTCTCTTAACTTGGTCTTTGTCTGCAAAGATTGAGCCTGGGAGAGAGGTTAAGTCCAGACTAGATGTTGGAGGTTTCTAGTGGTTGAGAGAGGGAGAAATTAGTCTCAGGAAGGGGAGTGAGAGATTAGAGCACTTCTATTGTTTTAGGTGTGAAGAATAAAGCCCCCCAGATACCACTCCCTGAGAGTGAAGACCTGACTCCTCCAATATTCAATTTCTAGCTACTTCCTTTCCATCTGCTTAGTCACTGTTCTTCCCCATTCACTTAAACTGTCTGGGCATCCTTTTATTCAGCCACACTCCAACTGACATTTACTCAAGGCATAGAGGAAATCAGAGATCAATTGAATTCAGTTTAGGTCAATAAATCTTTGCTAATCCACTGTTACTACCTACAAGGAATTTGGACAGACTTGGCAGGTACTCAAAAATATAAGAAAGTCCTTGATCCTACCTTTAAGAAGCTCACAGTTAGGAATGGGAACTAAACCAGGATATAAATCACTGTGATACAAACATAGGATTAAGAGACATCTTATGAGTATGCTGGGGTTCAAAGGAACGAGTAAGCTATGGTAGGAAAGCATAGCACTGGGAGTGAAAACACTTGGCTGAATGTCATAAAAGTTGCTTATGTTTGCTTAAAGTGATAAAAAATGTATGAGAAAAGCATTTTGTAAAGGTAAAGTGAAAAATACATGTAAGTTTTTATCTGATTTGGAAAACTAGCAAAGACAAGGTGGAATAGATGAAATCTCAAGTGGGCCCCAAGGAAGGGTGGAACTTTCACAGGTAAAGAATCTTGAAATTCTATTTGAGGCAGAATGAATCGCAAGACAGAAGAAACACACTGTAAGGTTCATGGGAATGTCTGCTAAAGATCATTAGTTTAGGGCAGCCTGGGTGGCTCAGCGGTTTAGTGCTGCCTTCAGCCCTGATTCTGGAGACCTGGGATCGAGTCCCACATCAGGCTCCCTGTATGGAGCCTGCTTCTCTCTCTGCCTATGTCTCTGCCTCTCTCTCTCTCTCTCAATGTGTGTGTGTGTGTGTGTGTCTCATGAACAAATAAATAAAATCTTTAGAAAAAAAAAAAGATCAATAGTCTAACCACCAGCGATACTTAGGTAGCAAAAGAGTAGATGAGAAGCACGATTGAGCAGATGATGTCCTATTTTGGAGGTACTTGAATGTTAGGGCCAGGAGGAAGAAGGGGAGGAGGAGTTTTCTTTTCATCATCAACATAATCACCAACAGAACAAATCTTTGAAGATTTTGAAAGCTGAGGAAGGACATGATTGGAACTGTGCTTTAGACAGATTAATCAAGCAGCTTGCAAAGGTTAGATTTGAGTGAAAAGAAGAGGTGACGAGGGACATTTTCTAATTGCAAATTCTGTCAGATGAGAAGAAGGAAGGACCAAGGCTAAAATGGTGACTGTGGGAACAAGAGGAGGAGACATTCACATAGGGGTCGTTTGCAATCTGATTGGATATAGAGGAGAGACAGTCGGGTGAGGGAAAGAGGTAGATGAAACCTTGGGGACGGCATTTATTCACTAACAAAAAAATTTTGGTGCTCATGTTGTGCCAGGCACTTTGAGCCACTGAGTATGAGAAAAATATAATGGGCAGAAATGAGAAACTTAAGGGGAAAGATTTAGTTAAGAAAGGGATAGTGATGGGTTTCATTTGGGTTATAAATTTAAGGGACTAGCAGGGGATTCAAATGGATAAATAAGGCAGGTAACTAGTAACAGAGGGAAGATCAAGAATAATTGCAATAATTTTGACACAATCATCTCCCATTTATAGCTGAGGTAGTGAGGTTATCACTATGGAGTGTGCCTGAGTGATGAGGTATAAGCTCCCTAATTCAGAGTCTCAGGATTAGATAGTTTTAGTAGCAAAAGTTATCTTTTTTTAACTAAAAAATTTATAGAGGTAGTACATGCTTGTTGTAGTGATTCCTAACAATTCTAAAGGAGATTAAGTAAACCAGGAAAGTTTCTTTCCTTACCCATCCCCATTTGATTTAATTTTGATTAAAAGAAATTAATTTTTCATTTGTGTTGCTTTAATAAGTTTCATGGGGATTTATAATTCTGGGGACAATGGGAAATATACTTATTGCAAGTAAACTTATGTTCTCCTAGCCTTCTGATCTGTAGAGAGAAGAAAAAGATGGCAAATCCTTGGAAGGGAGATCCAGGCTCTGGTCACTGTGGATAAGGCCAGTCAAATTTTATAATTTGCCAAACATTTTTCAATGAACAAATAAATAAAAAAATGTATCTGTAAGGCTGGCATAATCACGCAATTATTTTTTGTGAATTCACAACTTTTATGTAACCTAAAGGGGCACATGTATTTTTGCTTGAGGGTGAGTATCCCAATATTTTCATTTGGGAGACTCCTGACTATCATTTAGAGCTTGAAATGCAGAGTTTGAGGAGAGAGGAGTCCCAGTTGATGAGTTCTTGCTCTGTCCTTCCATAAAAAGAAGGTAAAATAAAAAGAGAAAGCCAATAAGAAATAGCCAAATTAACATAAATACACAATTGTCCTATATACTAATCAAGCAAGGCCTTACAATCAGAAATGGAAAGCCCGCCAAGCTAGGAAGCAAGACTAAATCCAATGCCTGAGACCCTCATGTAATTCATGCATTTTATTTCATGACTCCAGTATTCTGCAAATTTAATTAAAATTAGAAATAAATTAGTATTTAAATTTGGCATTGATTACTTTCCCCCCTTTAGTTTGGGATCAAATTGGGTGGTTGGATGTGGGGTAGAGGAGGGCATGACTGGCTTCTCTGGAATTGATTCACTGAAAAATGACAACATTAAGTCAAAGAAGAGTCAGAAAAATTTCCAACAAGCTCTGGGACTATTTATTGAGTGATAGTCAAGTGCTACCATATACTGTAGTGTTCATTGTATGCATTCATCCATCCATTCATTCATTTACTCATTAATAGATTAATTAATCAAATGAATTTGATAACATTGAATTATTATTGAAAAGCATATTATATTCAGTTTCCAAGAATAGGTAAGGATACAACAGATTATAGAAAGCTTTTTTTTATAACCTGATAAAATATTGTTCAAAAGCTTTGCTGCTGAAGGAGTAAGCAATTAAGTATTTTGTAAAATTCATTTGTATGAAATTCTTTGTTCTCCATTGAGAATAAAGGATAAATGGATAAATACTATAAAATATACTGGATTTTTCCTAATCCTTCAACCTTCAAGATAATCAACTCTTACAAAACCCTGGGGTGAAGAAGCTGGGTATAAAAGCTCTTCCTCGAATGTGCAATTAATTCTAGATTTCTCTCTCCCTTTCCCTTCTTTTCCCTTGGCCTGAGCAGCATGACTGAAGGGTTGGGCCAGCTGACAGATGGCGTGTCTGGCCTGGATGACTTCACTCAGACTCACGAATACCACGTGTGGCCGGGCTATGACTACGTGGGCTGGAGGAATGAAAGTGCCCCCAGTGGTTACATCGAGATCATGTTTGAATTTGACCGCATCAGGAATTTCACAACCATGAAGGTCAGTGGAGTTAGGTGTAGTGGAACGTGTCCAAGGAATCCAAAATGATGGTGTAGTGAAAAGGCACACTAGAAAGAACCCTGGGTGGTGCCAGCAGAACTGGATTCAAATTGGTATTCTGCTACTAATGAGCCACATGTGTTTCCAAGTCACTTCATCTCTTGGCTTCTTGCTTCCTTTGTAAATAAGGGGGTTAGACTAGGTCACTGTTTCTCAATGTTTTCTGTTGTTCCAACATCAGAGCCTACATACCATTAGGCACAGTGGGTCTAGAGCTCACAGGACTTTTTAAGGCCCCTGGAAATGTTTTAACTTTAACTTCTTTTAATGTCAGTGGGGGAAAAGAACTTTTAGGCTCAAAAATTATTTTCATCTGTTTAACAACACAATTTTAAAATATAATTTTATTTTTTTTTAGTGGAGGGAGGGGCTCACAAGAGCAAAAGTAACAAGAGCCCATGGAAATCATTTTATGGCCCTGCCCCATGTGCCCCAGGGACAAGACATACTTTTATCAATAAGGCTGGCTTGTTGCAACTCTAATTCTAAATGGAAGACATGAATATTTTGTATTTTGTCTTTGGAATAACTTTCCACCCCTACCCTGTCTCTTTAACCCCTACAGCACTGAGAAATCATAATAGAAGGCTCTGTACTCTTCTGTTTCCAGAGTTCTTTGTTCCCTTATCTGTTGCAACAGCACATCTCTCTGGTCATCCTACTAGATTTTGAGCTCCCCCAAACTGAACTCTAAGCTTGAGGAAAACTGGGGCTTAAAAGTACAGAGTCCTTTTGTTGAATGTAAGGGAGACCCCTGAAGTTTTTGTGGTTCACATATAATTTTTACTGGTTTGTTGAGGAGCATAAGAGGACTCTAATAAGAGGCCCAAGAAAGTGGACAAGTGCATTTGACCTCACACATGGATCCTCATTTATCTGTCAGTTTCTCTATTAATAGTTAATATCATTATAATAATATTATATAAATATTATAATATTATAATAATATTATTTCCCTATTAATAGTTGAGTACAGAATATTAATGGCCAACAACCTGGTGTTGCTGCCTCTATTTCAATCCCCTTGGGATGATTTGCAGTTCAGTGTTGGGAGAGGCACTACCTATTTGCAAAAGGAGGTATGTAGGATGAGTTGAAGATCTAGCAGAAGGAAATCTGTGTTATCATTAAGGGTCCCTAGTGAATCAAAATTTGTTATTCTTGGCACAAACCTGGAGTCAAAGAGGAAATCCACGTCTATTATATCACCCTCGCATGTTAATGTGGTAATATCTCCTAACTGGACTAATAGCTATCAGTTAAATGAACAAATATTTAAGATGAGAGCAGAAGGATAAACACATGCCCATCTACTTGTATATTGTTCAAGGCTGGCTCCTTGGCAGGTGTAAAACATAAGTACGTGCAGTTGTGTGTAACACACTCTTCTTCACAAGGTTTTCTGGAGGGAGGAAGAGAATATGCATAGTGGCAAAAATATGTACCTCCAGGGAAAATTTATTTGTTTTGCTGAATAATGAGATAGCCACATGCACCTATGAACATGTCTATTGATTCACAGAAATATACCATTGGGATAACTTTTAGTCTCACAAATAATAAAATGTATGTTAAACTCTCCACAAAATTGTACTATTTAGTCAATAGACTTACATCTTCCTGAGCCCCCCATAGCTCCGGTTTAATTAGTTTATCACAGGTCAGAATTATTCAAAAGCATAATCTACAGTAAGCAGGTGCCAGAAACTTCGAAGAAGCTATCTCAGGCTCAGGCCTCTCGAGGCCAAACAGGTCTCTAGCATATTTTAATTTTTCTGAGACAAATAAAATGTAAAAGATGACTTTTGGGTCACTAACATCTTTTAGAGAGTAGTTATTGGTTTCTAGGCAAATTATTGCCATTCCCCTCAGTTCTTAAATATAGTCAAAATAGCCTACTGAAGTATATTCATGTACTTTTAAAATGTTTTGCATTTATTAAATAAATATGTAAGCCCAGAGGGGAATGAAATTCTATACTATTTATTTGCATTCCAGGAGAATTCCCAAAACATCTGGAGGAGAGATTATTACCTCCCCCACAGGCTACCTATCCAACACTTTGCAGATTTAAAAAAAAAAAATCTGAAAAATCTAGTGAAGCTGTAGATGGTATTTTTTGGATTTTTTTCTAGCCTTGCTCCATTGACTTGTGCTCAATAAACTGGAACAGTTAACTCATCCCAAAGAAAGAAGGTACTAACAGATGTTTTCACCATTAAAACGTTTACAGGAAAATCCAAATGGAGAAGTTAAAGCAACTTGCTCCATTTCTGTGTGGCATGGTATTGGCAAGAGCACTGGACTAGGAGTCTAGAGTTCTAGACTCCATCCTGTTATTGACTGCTCATTTCTCTGCTCATTTCTTCAACCATAAAATTGCTGCAATCATTGCTGCTGCTTCTTCATTTAAAAATAAATTCTGAATGGTAGTCCTCCTGTATTTCCCATCCAGAGAGCAGAGGAGGGTACCAAAGACAGTCAGAGGGCTACAACTCAGGCCCTAAGCAAGACATTAAAATGCAAATAGCAAATATATTCCCAGAATGGCAAAGATGCTTTTCCAACCTGTGCAGTCTTTTAGTTCAGAGGATAGAGATCCGCAAAGCTCCATTTTCCACGTACGACTAAGCCAGAGGAAATGTCAGTGAACTACCACGAGGGACCTGACCTAGTTACAAATATGCATATTCCATTTCTGAGGGATGTTAAATGCAGCAAGGTGCTCCAGAGGAACTGTTGTGGGATCTTTGTTTCCGATGACCCTTTTAAAAGCCATACAAATATCCTGGTGAAAGAGTCATGGCAGCAGGCAAGAGGATGCAAGCTACTTTCTGAAAGACCTTCTTTTCTCATCTCAGAAAATATCCTTGGGGAAGATTTCAGGCCCACATCAGAATGGCTTCACCTTAACTGAACTTAAATGAAGATAGTGTGTCTCTGGCTGAAAAATGCCAATAGGTGGCCCTTGAAATGATATTCCTAAAGAGAAAGATGAAATTGTTTTGGAAAGTGTACTGTTTCAGATTTCTCAGCTAACCCTGTTGGAAGGAGTGGACTGGCTTTAGAATGCACGTAGGAGGGAGCAGGAGAGAGGACTCCCCCTTACCTCAGTTCAGAACAGCCTGCTTCTGGGTGCATGGCAAGCCTGTTGGAGAGGGTTAGAGACCTGGGAGTGTTAAGGGCAAGGAAGGCCCCGAAAGGATGCTGGTCCAGCCCTCATTTAACATAGGAGGTGACAGGAAATGAGGTGGCCCAGGGCTTACAGGTGTAGACAGGTGACCAGGGGAGCCACCTCGGTTCTGGAGGGCCAGACCAATGTATCCCTGCCACCCTTCAAGTTCTTGGAAGAGCATGTCTGAAAGACTACAGAGCAACTTCTCACCAAGGGCGGTGCTCAGATAAATAGGCAGGTCTAGGACGTCAGGGGTTAGGTTGCACTGCGTCCCTGTGCCACTTACTGCTGTCAGCCTGTCACTCGCATGCCTCTTTCTCTGTCAGGTCCATTGCAACAACATGTTTGCTAAAGGTGTGAAGATTTTTAAGGAGGTGCAGTGCTACTTCCGCTCTGAGGCCAACGAGTGGGAACCTAACGCCGTGTCCTTCCCCCTCGTCCTGGACGATGTCAACCCCAGTGCCCGCTTCGTCACGGTGCCCCTCCACCACCGCATGGCCAGTGCCATCAAGTGCCAATACCATTTTGCGGACACCTGGATGATGTTCAGTGAAATCACCTTCCAATCAGGTTGGGAGCTGAGGGGGCCTCCTGTGGACACGGGGGGAACAGGAGGAAGGGGCAGGCTGGAGCTGGTCACTGGTGGGTCTCTAAGGAAAAGGGTTGCACGGTGGCTTCTCGCAAATGCGTAAAGGAATCTTCCATAAGACTAGAATACTTACTGGAATACATATTTTTGTAAAAGGCACATAAATAAAGGACTAAAACACGAGAATACAAAGAGCTAAAGCAATATAAATGAAGCCAGTTAAGGGGAAGCACACTATTAAAATATTTAAGTGAAAATTTCTAAATAGGAGCACCTCGTTGGCTCTTTGGTTGAGCGTCTGCCTTTGGATCAGGTCAGTGATCCTGGGGTCCTGGGATTGAGTCCCACATTGGGCTCCCTGCAGGGAGCCTGCTTCTCCCTCTGCCTGTGTCTCTGCCTCTCTCTGTGTGTCTCTTATGAATAAATAAAATCTTAAGAAAAAATTCTAAATACACAAAAGTAAAGACCCCTCATCACTCACTGCCTTACTAACCACTGGTTTTGCCAATCTTGTTTTATCCATTTCTCCCTTTTCACTGTAGCATTTTAAATAAATTTGAGACATTATTTGATTTCATTACTAAAAATGTGAGACCACATCTAAGAAAATAGCATTATCTTTATAAACATCGTGCCTCATACGCATAAAGCATTATGGCATCTAACAACATTTGTTAATAAGTAATTCTTTAACATTAACTGATAGGTTGTCCACATTCAGGTATCCCTGATTGTCTAATAGTACTACTACAGTTGGCTTGATCAAATTCAGATCCAAATAAGGTCCTCTTGGGAGATTTCCTTTATGATATTCCTAAGTGTCTCTCTTAATATAAAACAGTCCTTTTAAAAAAAATCCATTCTGGTTTGGCTGATTGCTTTCTGTGATGCCATTTTTTAGAGCATATATCTTTTGTCATTTCTGTAGACTCGTGGTTATATCTACAGGCTGATTTGATTCAAGTTCAATATTTATTTTTGTCAAGAATTTTCATAGATAGTGCTGTGTCCTTTATGTTGAACCTCATCATGAGGATGTAATGCTAGATTCTCTCACCTTAAGTAATGCTAAGATTGATTTCTGGGCTCAAGTTATCTCCACTGGTGACCACTGTTTGAATTATTTATTTCATTAGGGATTGTTAAATGGTGATTTTCTAGTTTTTGTATTCCTTCTGCATTTATTAGCTCAATTTCTTCTGACTAGTAGAACTGTTCCTCATGCACTTGCTTACCCTGAGATATGGTTCACATTGAAAGGGCAGGAAACATGATTAATTTTTTCTCTTCATCAATTTTCAGAGTTGATGCCCTAGCAACCTTCAATAATGTTTTGGTTTTTAATATCATCATGCATTCATTGCTTTTTTAATAATTTCAGTATGTTTAATCAGTTGTAATTATTCTTTCTGATGCTCAAATTGTCTTCCATTTGACCAGAGCATATATCTTTAGGCTGGCTCTGTGTTCTTTGTATCTGGACTTATAAGACTTTGATAAATATCTTATTTTCTGGAAGAACAAAATTATGCAAGCTCTTTTTAAACATTGGTGTTCCAGATATGGAGCCAACCATTTCCTTAAGCAGTCCTCGTTCCTTTTATTGGAGAATGGTGCTTAGAGACCACAAACCGAGTAGTAGGGATTGTGCTGAATCTTGCAAAATTAAAAGGCATTTAGGGCATTGTCTATACCACCACCATTGAGATGAGGTACAAAACCCACACATTGATTTTTCTAAAGATGCTCAAAAAATAAAAAAACTGATACCAACAATTAGCAGTCAGGAGAGAGGTCAGTAGAGAATGGGTTCATAACAGTGTCAAAAGAGTGAGCCTTGCACTGGACTGGTAGAAAAGTTTAGGTGAAAAATAAATAACAGAAGAGAGGAAGAGAGACCAATGTGAAGATAAAGTAGAAGACCCCATGCTTTCTGATTTAACTTTTATTTCTTTTTTTTTTTAATAAATTAATTTTTATTGGTGTTCAATTTACCAACATACAGAATAACACCCAGTGCTCATCCCGTCAAGTGTACCCCTCAGTGCCCGTCACCCATTCACCCCCACCCCCCGCCCTCCTCCCCCTCCACCACCCCTAGTTCATTTCCCAGAGTTAGAAGTCTTTATGTTCTGTCTCCCTTTCTGATATTTCTCACACATTTCTTCTCCCTTCCCTTATATTCCCTTTCACTATTATTCATATTCCCCAAATGAATGAAAACATACGCTGTTTGTCCTTCTCCGGTTACTGTGGCCAAGTTCAAAAAGGGTGTTGCCTGAGTTCTTCTCTGGGATTTTGATGGAATCTTGTCTCACATTTAGATCTTTCATCTATTTTGAGTTTATCTTTGTGTATGGTGCAAGAGAGTGGTCCAGTTTCATTCTTCTGCATGTGGATGTCCAATTTTCCCAGCACCATTTATTGAAGAGACTGTCTTTCTTCCAGTGGATCGTCTTTCCTCCTTTATCGTATATTAGTTGAGCATAAAGTTCAGGGTCCACTTCTGGGTTCTCTGTTCTGTTCCATTGATCTATGTGTCTGTTTTTGTGCCAGTACCACACTGTCTTGATGAACACAGCTTTGTAGTACAACCTGAAATCTGGCATTGTGATGCCCCCAGATATGGTTTTCTTTTTTTAAAATTCCCCTGGCTGTTTGGGGTCTTTTCTGATTCCACACAAATCTTAAAATAATTTGTTCTAAGTCTCTGAAGAAAGTCCATGGTATTTTGATAGGGATTGCATTATACGTGTAAATTGCCCTGGGTAACATTGACATTTTCACAATATTAATTCTGCCAATCCATGAGCATGGAATATTTTTCCATCTCTTTGTGTCTTCCTCAATTTCTTTCAGAAGTGTTCTGTAGTTTTTAGGGTATATTTTGAGAACCATTTGAATGGTAAATGGTTCTCCAACCTTTTATTTTCAGGTTGTAGGTGTCCTTCTGTCTAAAATGAGTCTCTTGTAGACAGCAAATAGATGGGTCCTGTTTTTTTATCCAGTCTGAAACTCTGCGCCTTTTGATGGGGTCATTAAGCCCATTCACGTTCAGAGTTACTTGAACTTCTTCTTAAAGGGGAGTTTTAAGAGTCCCCCTTAAAATTTCTTGCAGAGCTGGTTTGGAGGTCACATATTCTTTCAGTTCCTGCCTGTCTTGGAAGCTCTTTATCTCTCCTTCCATTTTGAATGAGAGCCTTGCTGGATAAAGTATTCTTGGTTGCATGTTCTTCTCATTTAGGACCCTGAATATATCCTGCCAGCGCTTTCTGGCCTGCCAGGTCTCTGTGGAGAGGTCTGCTGTTACCCTAATATTCCTCCCCATGAAAGTCAGGGACTTCTTGTCTCTTGCTGCTTTAAGGATCTTCTCTTTATCTTTGGAATTTGCAAGCTTCACTATTAGATGTCGAGGTGTTGAACGGTTTTTATTGATTTTAGGGGGGGGATCTCTCTATTTCCTGGATCTGAATGCCTGTTTCCCTTCCCAGATTGGGAAAGTTTTCAGCTAGGATTTGTTCAAATACATATTCTGGCCCTCTGTCCCTTTCGGCGCCCTCGGGAACCCCAATTAAACGTAGGTTTTTCTTCCTCAGACTGTCATTTATTTGCCTTAATCTGTCTTCATGGTCCCTTAATTGATTGTCTCTTTTTTCCTCAGTTTCCCTCTTTGCCATTAACTTGTCTTCTATGTCACTCACTCGTTCTTCCACCTCGTTAACCCTCGTCGTTAGGACTTCTAGTTTGGATTGCATCTCATTCAATTGATTTTTAATTTCTGCCTGATTGGATCTAAATTCTGCAGTCATGAAGTCTCGTGAGGCCTTAATGCTTTTTTCTAGAGCCACCAGTAGCTGTAGAATAGTGCTTCTGAATTGGCTTTCTGACATTGAAGTGTAATCCAGATTTTGTAACTCTGTGGGAGAGAGGGCTGTTTCTGATTCTTTCTTTTGAGGTGAGGTTTTCCTTCTAGTCATTTTGCTCAGTGCAGAGTGGCCAAAAACAAGTTGTATTGGAACACGGGGAGTATCACTGGTCCGTCCAGCTGGTCTTCTGGGGGAGGGGCCTGCTGTGCTGATTTTCAGGTGTTAGCACTTGGGGGAGCTGCTCTGCCCCTGCCTGCTGCCGGGCTCAGCGGGGGTTGTTTACCCTGTGGGGCCCCAGGAGGAACAGTCGCAGTTGCTATGGCAACTCTGGAAGCCTGGATTCAGCCTCCGCAGGAACTACGGGGCGGGCTCGGGCTCTCGGTTCTCCGTCTGCAGGGCCTGGAGGCTCCGGGGCGGGGCCGCTGATCTGCTCAGCTCGGGGCAGGAGCGTCCTCGCTGTCCTGGGCCCTCCCGGCCTCTGCCTGTCCCGGGGGAGGCCGGATCCTGGGCTGTGTCCCGGCGCCCTGTGCTCCGGGGCCTGCGCTGTTGGATTCGCGCTCCCGCCCCGCAGCCCCCTCCGCGGAGCCGCCGCCCGAGCCCCTCCGAGCTGCTCCGGGTCCCGCCGTGCGCGCTGCAGCCCTTAGGGAGCTCGGCGCACTCTCCCGGGGCGCAGGTGTCTGTTAGTGTCCCCGGGAGCCCGAGGGCATCCCCGCCCTCCTGGGTCCTGCTCCAACTCCCTGCGAGCCCCTTTCCGCCCGCCCGGGAAGGTTGGTGCAGCTCCTGCTCCTCCGGGACGGGGCTCTCCTGTCCTGGGGACACTCGCCCCGGCCTCAGCCCGGCTCCTCGCGGGGCCCCTCCCCCTCGGAGGCCTTTTGTTCCTTTATTTCTTTTTCCCCGTCTTCCTACCTTGATAGAAGCGCGGACTCTTCTCACTGCAGCATTCCAGCTGGTCTCTCTTTACATCTCAGGCCGAATTCGTAGATTTTCAGGATGGTTTGAAGGTTATCTAGGTAATTTGGTGGGGACAGGCGATTTGGGGACCCTGCTCTTCCGCCATCTTGCCCCTCCCTCTAACTTTTATTTCTTAACATTTTTTGTTTATTTATTTTAAGATTTTAAAATTTTATATATTTATTTATTTATTTGAGAAAGAGAGAGAGAGAGAGAGAGAGAGAGAGAGAGAGAGAGCAGGAGGATGAGTAGAGGGAGAGGGACAAACAGGCTCCATGCTGAGTGCAGAGCCCAACATGGGACTCCACCCCATGACTGAGGATCTCATGACTGAGATCATGACTTGAGCCAAAATCAAGAGTCGGACCCTTAACTGACTGAGCCACCCAGGCACCCCTGATTTAAAATTTAAGAATAAATAGATTGATGATTTTGCATTAAGTATTTACTAAGAGCAGAAATTTAGAGCAGTCCGGGTGGCTCAGCAGTTTAGCACTGCCTTCATCCTAGGGTGTGGTCCTGGGGACCCAGGATTGAATCCCACGTCAGGCTCCCTGCATGGAATGGAGCCTGCTTCTCCCTCTGCCTGTGTCTGTGCATCTTTCTCTGTCTCTCATGAATAAATAAATTAAATCTTAAAAAAAAAGAACAGAAGTTTAGATGTTTAAAAACAGTGTCATTACATTGTGTTAACAATGAGACCATAGATTCTCATCCATCCTCAGGGATTCTATTCTCTTGGCAGAGTAATTAGTCCACTTACCTTGTTATACCCAATTGCAGCAACGGGCTAGTTTTTGACTACTGGGATCTCTTGAGTTTTATAATCCAATGTCATGATAACATTCATTTCCATTGGAGCTTGAGGACCCAATGCAGAAAAGTATATGTAGATGCCAGATACCTCCCAATTTGCATAATAATGCTAAGAAGAAGAAAAATTAGGACTTATGGAGAGCATGCGGGTTGAAGGGAATTGCATATTCTAATTCTTGACTTCCTTCCTTAGACAAATCAGAGGGGAAAATGAGTTGCCAACATCAGTCTAGCAAATACACTCTGGGGGGCTAGTTTTAGAAGCTTATACATCACAGTAAGGGAGACTCCGGTATCAATAATTTACCTATAAGGATGAGGTTTGATTATAAATTAAAGGGCTAGGTCAATGAGCATAGTGAAAATAACTTAATTTCCTTGGAGAGCCGCTTAGCGCTATGTCTGTTCCATGACCACTTACCCATCATGTTCTCTCTACATTTTGCTGAATTTGGGTCTGACTTCCTATGCATGCTTTATGATAATGTGTGGTCACAGCCCTCTGAGCCACTGTTTCGTAAACTTCTTTGTACCATGACACCTAGTATCGTTTAAACAGACATTTTCCAAAACAAGAGTTGCTCTTACTGTCCAGATTAATGATGATTTTTTAAAATTTAGAATATTATATGAGTTCCTTTTTAAGAAAGGCTGATGACAACTCACTAAATTGATTTCACAATGTGCTAGGTCACAATCTGCCTCCAGAAAAACCACTACTTAGCTGTCTCCTCCCCAGCTCTGACTCACACTTATTTTGTAACAGACGCTGCAATGTATAACAACTCTGGAGCCCTGCCCACCTCACCTGTGGCACCCACAACCTATGGTATGTGTGATTTCTAGTTATAAAAGTTAAAATTGAAGGGGGCTTCTAAAAGATGAAGAAGGGTAGAGATTTGCAAGGGCCTGACTGTCTGCATAGGAGGCTTTCTACCAGGTGGCTTTGGATGAAGGGTAGTTCTGGAAAGATAGAATCCAAAGTAAAGGATCCAAACTCACTCTCCTCACTAGTTCATTTTATTCTTCAGTTAAAGCAGAGTCTGGAGTTGTTCCAATTGCTTCATGAAAGTTTGGGTATCTCAGAACAAAAACAAGGAAAGGGACATTTCTATGGGATCTCAATGGATGGAAGTCCATTAAACAAGATGATAGTCTCTCTAATTGGAGATACATGCAAAAATGTATCCAGTGCTTTAGATGATCACTGGTAATATGAACCGGCAATCTGGGAAACACATATGATCAAGTGTCTCCAAGGGGGACTCTTCACCTATTTTTCATGAGGTATGACTGTGGGCCAGTAGACCTAGGCTGTGGTAATAAAGGAACAAAATTTGAGGATGAATTGAAAACTTCTCCATTATCCAGTCTGATACATGAGGAGGAGGCGGAGGCTACGGCCCCAAGGAGGAGGACTGTACGTTGGAGGAGCAAAGTCATACAAGACTAGCAAGACTGAAACTAAGCAGAAGTGTTAGGGTGGCATCTTGTAGAATTATCCTGAAGGAAAAAGTTCTACCTCTGTCCCTGGTCCAGTCTCTCATGATTTTCCTTGCCCCATGAGATGGTGATGTTCTCCATCTCTCTCTTCTTGGTCACAGATCCAATGCTTAAAGTCGATGACAGCAACACCCGGATCCTGATTGGCTGCTTGGTGGCCATCATCTTCATTCTCCTGGCCATCATTGTCATCATCCTCTGGAGGCAATTCTGGCAGAAAATGCTGGAGAAGGTAAGGAAGTGCAGAACAGTCATGGGATAAGAACCTGTGCTACACGTACCTAAGCCACTGTCACCCCAGGAGAAAAAGGCAAACTATAAGAACTTGTAAATGCTTAGAGCATTAACTGAGGCCACTAAGAAGCCTGGGATTGGAGAAGCTTGTTGCTGAAGGGAGTCAGAAAAGAATAAGCTAAGTCCATTTTCTCCTGTTTGAAACGAGGATTTTGGAGCCTCCCTAGGAAACTCTTCCTAATACATTGAATGTCAACTCAAACATCTTCCTTGAAGGTTTTGATTCACTGGGTTTGGGGAGAGTGCAGACATCTGCGTTTTTTAAAAAAATTAACAGATGTACAATTGGTACCTAGCTAAAATTTCTGATAATGCTGTTCCTTCTCTTCTGTTACTGTTTACACACATGCATGTGTGTGTGTGTGTGTGTGTGTGTGTGTGTGTAGAAAAACATTCAGCCTCATTAATATCCAAGCCAAGTTTCTCATAGTCCTGTTTCTACTTTATTTACTTGGAAGTTGTGATTATGCATCCTTCTGGGTCCCTCTTCAGATTTGTTTTGTCCAGTCTAACTTACCTGAATAATTTTTATACATTTGCCTAACATTCAACAATCTGCAAGGTCTTTTTTTCATGTGTACTCTTTTACTTAAACCTTGTTGAATAATGGTGAGCTGGGCCTAGTAAGTTATATAGAAGTGTGATGTGCTTAAGGTCATAAAACTGATATCCTATTTTCTATGGTCATTCCAATTGTCAGTGTTGAAATTTGTCAACTTTTTTCCTTTTAAAATATATACATTCCACCGAAAAGTTGGAATATCTATAACTTTGGTATTTTAGGCTAGATAGCAACTCCCTGGGCATTTCTGCTAGGTATCCGATACTCTTAGGGTCTGCTGATGTTTAAGTGTTTCTAGATTTGGCCATGGACGTCTTCACTGATCCATGGATTCAAAGGGACGTGGACTGAAAGGTTAGAGAAGCTCTGAGCTGTGAGGTAATTCAAGACCTTTCTTCTAGAATGCCGGAACACACCGGGTATCTAAATTCAGGATGAGGAGCAGCAAAAAGTGCTGGTGGTAGTAGAAGCTGGTAGACTGAAGGTCCATGGGACAGCTTGAAGCTGATGTGTGTCTTATTGAGTATTTTGTTATGCCTGCATTTTCATTGGTAAGAGGGAATCTGTGTTCTACACCCTGTGAGCTATATTTTTCTTTATTGGAGAAATTACCACACTTCTCTGGGTCTTCTGAGCCGATTGGAATATGTTCATGACTGGAAGAGGAGTATTGGATTGGAGATTCTTCAAGTAAAAGGAAAGGCAAAAATTTTGCCCTGGAATATTTAACTTGGTCCTTCAAAAAATTCTTTCTACCCTGTGTATCCTAGTAAGATAAATCCAGATGCTCTGGAATGACAGAATTTCTTCCTGGGGACAGAATTTGTGTCTCTCTGTGTGTCTATGTGTTTGTGTGCACATATGCACGTGTGTGTGTAAAACCCTTAAGCATACACATATATTCCAAAAAACCATGATTCAAAATAGCTTTAGACTAACCATTATTTGTAGGATGCTTTTGGTAGTGTCCTTAACATTTTTTCTTTGAGAGAGCTCAATAAACCCATATTTATTGAGTACCTACTATGTGCTGGGCTCCAAACTCTGTATCGAGGATGTGACTGTAACAAAGGACTTTTTAGTCCAGGGGATGAAGCAGACATCTACGTGTCTCCACTGAACACCCAAACGTGTTTATGAGAGTGGAACATTTTTTATGTTCAAATCCAAATAGTTCACATACATTCAGATTCCTGCATTTTCCTTTAGAAGGTGCAGATAGATCACATTGGCTAGGATGCTAAAACAATTTTATTATTATCTTTCTCCTCCCTCCTCCTCCTCCTCCTCCTCCTCCTCCTCCTCCTCCTCCTCCTCTTCTTCTTCTTCTTCTTCTTCTTCTTCTTCTTCTTCTTCATTAGGTATAATTCACTTCAGTATCCCCAGGGATTTCCTTTTGCATTCTTATAGCTATTTTATTTTGGGCTAGTAAAAATGCAGGATTGAGGGCATATTATCCTAAGCTATGGAGCCAGAGTGATGGAGTACACTACTGAGCCATCATGTTATAGCACATCTGTTGAGTGAATGAGCATTTTAATGTGTCTACACAGAATCAAACCAATTAAAGGATAAGCCTGCTAAAATCCAGTATATAATAGAACATCAAAAACTGTAAGATGGAGAAGATCTTTGATTGGCCACTGATAGGTTCTCACAGTGTCATATAAATAATGCTTATAAATGCTTCAGTGGAAGTTAACGAACATTGGCAGCACAGAAGTTAGGAGATCACATTTTGCCTTGAAACAATGGAGGATTACTCTCAGTTCCTATGACACAGGCATTTGACACAAGTCGCATCCCTGTCACTTGTGGTGCTTCCAGGGTTTAAGAGTAACAGAGAGGTATTTCACCTGAGTGGAGGAGCTGGATCTCAGAAGAGGAGGAGGCTATGATCCCCTTTGTGCCAACCTGCCTTCCTCATTCTTCTCATTCAGGCTTCCCGGAGGATGCTGGATGATGAAATGACAGTCAGCCTGTCCCTGCCCAGTGAGTCCAGCATGTTCAACAACAACCGCTCCTCATCGCCAAGTGAGCAGGAGTCCAATTCCACTTATGATCGCATCTTTCCCCTTCGTCCTGACTACCAGGAGCCATCGAGGCTGATACGAAAACTCCCAGAATTTGCTCCTGGGGAGGAAGAGTCAGGTGAGGATGGCCCAGTGGCAGAGAATGAGGGAGAGGTCTTGACGGGCATCATGAAGGTGTGACACTTTGCTCCTCCTCAGCCAAGACTGGTTTTAATCGAGAGGAGCCCACGTTTTCCTGAGAAGTCCACACTCTCTTTCTAGACTGATCTGCCACTGCTCCTACCCTAATCTGAGTGCCTCTCTTTTGCTAATGCTCATAGTAGGTGTTTAAAAGGACCCTCAGGTCAGAAGAGAAAGAAAATAGATAAAGGTTGTCACTAAGGTGCTAACACCTGAAGAGCCTAAGCAGTCCAACTAGTCTGGTCTCCTCATTTTCCATAGGAAGAAGGTGAGGAAGCCCAGCTAGGGCACTCACCCAATACCAAACATCATTGGTGGTAAATTCAGGACTAGCATTTCACCTGGAGAAAATAAATAAATGAAGCTAAAGACATCCTGGAATTCCCAATCTTCTAGCCATCTAGATAACTGAGTTTATCTAATTTTTGTTTATTTCTCTTTGGTGAAAATTTATTAGAATGATACAAGATCTTTTACATCAGCGAATATTTCTTGCCTTTCTTCAGTAAAAAGCATTGCTTTGGTAGAATAGTGCCAATTGATTCACATCCAGTGTTTTTTAGAGTACTGAAGAGTGACATCAGAAGGGATTCTGGGGTCATCAGTGAGGCTCAGAGCAGCTTTTCCATAAGGTCAGCACCTGAGGAGTGACCTAAGTCAGTGGAACTTGTGTTCGGGAGAAAGCCAGATGGAGAAGCAGACAGACCTAACTGGGCGTGCATAGGCTTTGCAAGGGCTCTTTTCAAAGGAGGAAAAGAAACTCGCATATGCTTATCACTCAGCGGATAAGAAACATTGAAGGAGCACGTTGAACTCAAGGATATGAACGAATTTATTTCCTAGGCTAACCTAAAGTAACTTACCTATTTTCTAATATGCTAGAACATCTCCCCCCTCATATTTTAAGTTATTTTTTTAAGGAAGAATGTGTCTCAAACTATATTGAATCATCAGAAAGTTGTTTCATCCCTAAAATATGTTATTAAATCAATGAGAGTGTCTTCAAATTAAAGAAATAAGTGATGTGATTAAATCATCAAACTTTCCTACTCTGCCCTTATCTAGAGTGAACTACGCCTACAGCTTCACCACGATCCCCTAAGATTAGCCAAGGAGGTTGCTAATGATCACGTAGTTTGAGAAGAATAAGAGGAAATGATGTTCTACATTCCGAAGGCCATGAGACAGGGTCTCCAGAGGAACCATTCTTTGAATGAGAGTGGCATGGAGTAGCATAGGCTGTCTTAGGGGTGGGTCCTAGCCTTCCTTTTGGATTTTCTTCCTGGAAGGATCTCCAAAGATGCCCCTTGGAGGAGGACTCATTGCCTGTGTCTTCCCAGGCTGCAGTGGCATGGTGAAGCCTGCCCAGCCCAGCGGGCCTGAGGGGGCGCCACATTACGCAGAGGCTGACATCGTGAACCTGCAGGGGGTCACGGGAGGCAACACCTACTCGGTGCCAGCCGTTACCATGGACCTGCTCTCAGGGAAGGATGTGGCTGTGGAAGAGTTCCCCAGGAAACTACTAACGTTCAAGGAGAAGCTGGGAGAAGGCCAGTTCGGGGAGGTGAGTTGAATCTTTTAGTGGGGTCTCCAGTTCTTGGCATCTCAAAGATAGGGGTTGAATACAAATGGCCAGTAGAGCCAAGTGTCCCTTCCGAAGTGGGTTCAGACCTCAGTGTTTCCTTCACTCCTCTGTCCTTGCCTCGTCCTCTGGAAGGCTGGTATTGGGATCAACCTCAGCTTTGTGAAATAGCCCACAAAGGTTTCTGGGTCTTCTGAGTTCTGTACAGGAATTTTTAAAGCAAGCAAGTCACTAGACTGCAGATATCTTGAAAAACATGCAATATTTTCAAATTTTTTTACGATAGGTTACAAAGGGTGGGGTCCCGTAAGATGTGATCATCTTTGATAAACTGTCCAAGAACATCCTGCTACTTGATAGCCACTTTGTTTTCTTCCTGTCAGTGGGAGTTACGTGTAAAGTGGTCAAAAACAACCTCGCCCCTGACTTGAGTCCCAGAATCAGCCGGAGGGAATGAATTGCCAACTGAGATAAGGAGGAGCACTCTTCCCGATGGCCCTCCGAGTGATGCACATAATAGTGACTTTGCACTCTTCTGTCAGTCACGGGAACCTTCTGAGAATCCAAAGCCATGACTTAAGTGGCAACAGGAGCCTTTCACCAGCACCATCTGAACCCCAGATGAAATATAGGAATATGTTATTGGTTTTCAGTGTGGGTGGCATGCTTTGCCCTTGGGTAGGTTTGGTGTTGGTGGATGTACAAGGGCCGGTGACATCTGTTTGTGATGTCGTATATACTCATTCTGTCCCCTGGGTTAAAAACACAGGCTCATTATTCTGTTACTAGTACATAGGGGTTACTTGTGTACTAACACCATACTAAGGGATCACCTTAGAGAAGAAACTGCCATATGTTTCCTATGAGCCAATAACTAAACTTCCTTGAGTCAAAGTTGGAGTGTTTCTGCCGAGCGCCATTTTAGAGTGGCCTATGCCGTAATACCATAGTATGTTGTCAGTCACATAGCATTCCAATCCATGTATGTTTCTTTTATAAAGCAGTAACAATGTCAAACTTTATCATTGTTTGTCTCGACTATTTGCATTAAAGGCATGTTACACGTATCTTAACATGTATGATTTGGCTTGAGTTGTAAGAGTTAGCTTATCTCCAGGAAATGCTCAGCAAGAGTACTGAGCCATCTTCAGGAGAAACGATGATGCTGAGACTAGATGACTTTTGTCTAGGTTCATCTCTGTGAAGTGGAGGGGATGGAAAAATTCAAAGACAAAGATTTTGCCCTAGATGTCAGTGCCAACCAGCCTGTCCTGGTGGCCGTGAAAATGCTCCGAGCAGACGCCAACAAGAATGCCAGGTCTGTGGTCTGCATTTTGAATTTTTCTTTATGTATTTCGCCTTCAGGATCAGGAACACTCCTGGAAACCTTTGCGCATTTTTTGTTTTTCTTTGAGATGGGAAGGTCTGTGAGCTGCCTCACCTTTCACTGTTGTGCTCTATTTTTCTGAGGGGCCTGCAGTCCTCATCTCTCTTCTCTGTCTCCGGCAAATGCAGATGTCCACTTTCCATTGAATTAGCTCCATGTTTACTTCCTCACTCCCTTTGCACAGAGCTGTACTTCCCAACACACCCAACAGCCTGAATATGTGCTCCTTCGACCATGGTGCTCAGACATCCTCCTGAATGTCATTACCGCCTCTTGGCCGACTTCCACTTTTACACACAACTTTCTTGCTGAGTCTCCTCCATGCTCCTTTATTCGCGTCTCTATTTACTGTCTCATTCCTTTTTTTTTCTCTTTTATGCTCCTTTTCTTCTGTGACCAGCAAACCCCCAAATGAGAAGCTACCTCTACTTGGAAAAGTATCCATGGACCTCAAAGCAAAAGGATCCTACAGTTGGTTAGCGTGTCCCAAACTGGCCAATAGTCTCTTGGATCCTTTACTACATAAATTGCAGTTTCCAGCCATACTCCGTTGTCTGACAGCCTTTCCATTACAGTAATGGTGAGTTAATCCTCACCCAGAGAGGCATGCTGGTTGAAAGCTGGTTGTCTGTGTCTCAAAGAAGTCTGCACATCTGGGTAACGTATGTATTTTCCCATTTGTGTTGACTTGGTTTGTCTCGCTGATATGCACAGCGAGAGAAAGCTTATTATCCCTGTCCCCCAAATTATTGTAAATTCCAAGAATGGTCAGTAGAGTTTCATTAAAAGTGTTGCAACAGACAGGATGTGAAATGAAGAAGGAAGAAAGGTGAGGGAACACAACTGGAATTTTAACTGTGAGAACTTCAGTCTTAAAGATCTGGATATGCATGAAAAATGACATCCTCTGGGTCCCTTAGAGAGACAAGATATTCTTAATATTAACTTTATCACATGATTGGAGAGAGTGGCAAGAAGAAAAAAAAAACATAGGATATAACAAAGCCTTTGCCCATTGTTTTGGTTGGTGAGGTTTGGTGTCCCTCCCCCAGGGCCAACTGCAATTTAGCAGTGAAGGATGGTCTAGACTCTGGGCCCCCAAGCTGTGGAGACCCCTGGTTTTGAGTGGAAGGGAAATGAAAGAGGGGACATGTCACATCAGGACTACATTGATTTCTGGGGTTTTATATTGATACAGTATGACTCCCAGTCCAGAATTCCTAGAAAACTCAACAGAGATTCATAACTCATCTGCTCTGATAGTTTTAAGAATGTGGGCTAGTGGTCTCACTGACCCAAATATTGTTACTGGGAAAGATGATAGCCCATTTTGTGACTCGAGTGGTTGTCACTAGGTCCTCAAAGAGTTCTAGTCCAAGTGAGTGCTGATTTGGAAGCAACTCCACACTGCCACCATGAACTTGAAAACAGCTCTGTTTTGAACAGGCTGCTCAGTGTGTGTTGTGACTGCTGCTGGTGTGCCCTGTAGTGCGAACAACCAGTATGAGAAAAAGAAAGAGTTCCCAGATAAAGCAGAGGATGATTTTTCACTTTATAAAGGATTTCTTTGCTTTATCGATAGAGCGAGTCCGTAGCTTTTTAAAAAAGTAAATACTCCAGTGTACTTAAGAAACAATTTCCAGGGAAAAGTTTCATTTTGCAGATGAGTTTTTAGCAGCATATATGTGTTTCAGCAAATAGTAGTCACTTTCTATGTGGTGGGCCTTTTGTTGGACTCTGGGGATGTAAATGTGAGCAGGTCATGGCTCTTGTTCTCAAAAAGACCACAGTTGAATAAGCATGCATCCTATTCCAGGGTGTGTAGAATAAGGCATTTCCAGGTACCAACTTCTCTGTCCTCCCAAAGATTATTTAAAGGGAAACAAGACTCTGGGGTAATGGGTAGGACTAGGCTTTGCTGTGTCTCCTTCCCCCTCCTGTTTCTAACCCTGGCAGCCTCTGGGTTTACCTATGTCTGTGTCCTCCAAAGGAACGATTTTCTCAAGGAGATAAAGATCATGTCCCGGCTCAAGGACCCAAACATCATCCGCCTCTTAGCTGTGTGTATCACTGATGACCCGCTGTGCATGATCACCGAGTACATGGAGAATGGAGATCTCAATCAGTTTCTTTCCCGCCACGAGCCCCCTAGTTCTGCCTCTGGCAACGTACCCACTGTCAGGTAAGTAAGCCGGGTCCCCCGTCCCTTCTCTGCATTCAAGAGGCTAACCTGGGCTCCGGAGAGTAAAGTTCATCAATGTTCTGGCAAGGGGAGGGGAGGTTAGCACGCAGGACTAATGGAGCAGCCGCCCTTTGGGGGAAAGCAAAGAGATCCACTGAGAACAGAGAAGGGGATGTTGGTGGAAACTCCAGTTGACTGGTACCCCCTGGAGAATGCGTGCCTCTCGCAGCTTGCTCTTTCCATAGGCTACTTCCTCCCCTCTTTTTTTATTCCCTCAGTTATGCCAACCTGAAGTTCATGGCTACCCAGATTGCCTCTGGCATGAAGTACCTTTCCTCTCTCAATTTTGTCCACCGAGATCTGGCCACACGAAACTGCTTAGTGGGTAAGAACTATACCATCAAGATAGCTGACTTCGGAATGAGCAGAAACCTGTACAGTGGTGACTACTACCGGATCCAGGGCCGTGCGGTGCTCCCCATCCGCTGGATGTCTTGGGAGAGTATCTTGCTGGTGAGTTCCTCTCGTTTTTAAGCCCTACCTCAGCAACGCACGTGTAGGCAGGTACGCGTGGCACACAGGGACAAGCCTGAGACAAGGCAAGTTTGCAGCAAGCAAACACTGGATGTTGATATTTTCTCTGACTTGAGATGATTTTTTTTTATTTTTTAAATTTATTTATTTATGATAGTCACAGAGAGAGAGAGAGAGAGAGGCAGAGACACAGGCAGAGGGAAAAGCAGGCTCCATGCACCGGGAGCCCGTTATGGGATTCGATCCCGGGTTTCCAGGATCGCGCCCTGGGCCAAAGGCAGGCGCCAAACCGCTGCGCCACTCAGGGATCCCTGACTTGAGATGATTTACTCGGTATATTCACCATTATTATTATTTTTACACTTGCCTACTTCTGCTGATAAAGTGTAACATGTTCGCTATAGAAAATTCAGGACAAGGTTAAAAATGCACCTATCATCATACAAGATTTACTATCCTTCGTTTTCTCTCTACCCTTTCGACCTACTGATTGGTCTTCATTAATTTGTGATATTAAAAACCTTATCATGGGGATCCCTGGGTGGCTCAGCGATTTAGTGCCTGCCTTTGGCCCAGGGTGCGATCCTGGAGTCCTGGGATCGAGTCCCACGTCAGGCTCCTGGCATGGAGCCTGCTTCTCCTTCTTCCTGTGTCTCTGCCTCTCTCTCTCTCTCTCTGTCTATCATTCATAAATAAATAAATAAATAAATAAATAAATAAATAAATAAATAAGATAAAAACCTTATCACTTAATGAAATATTATCCACACAAAATATTTTTCTTCTGTATTAATTTCATAACCATATTTCTAATGAATTATTTGGACTGACGTCTCTATATTTATTTTAATGAGTATTGCTGCTTTTTATTTTAAGTTCATCATTCTTTGCTTTATAATTTTTATTCAATGCTTGGTATTCTGGACCATGAGTGAGTAATTTTTTCCAAATGTCTCTCTTGGAGGTGTATTTTCTGACCCTGCGTATCTGAGACATTTTAGTGTTGATTTTACACCACTTAGCTGATTTGTGGAATTATTAGACTTTAAGCACTTACTTCCTACAATGCTATGTACATGTAATTTTGTCTTTTGTCATTTAGTATTGCAGAGAAAAGCCTGAGAGCAATCTAGCTTTGTTCATTTATAGTCAATCAGCTTATTTCTTGTTCATATTCTTAAAGGATTCATTAATTAAATTTGAAATGAAAAAATATAGTTATTCCCTTTCTCTCACCAAGATAACCACTTAATATTTTGGTATATTTCCTTTGGGGTTGTTTTCTATACACACATTTCTGTGTATGTGTATATGTGTCTATGTACATATACGTGTATATGTATGTATGTGTATATGTACAGTAGACCCCCTTATTTATGGGGGATATGTCCAGGGCTTCCAGTGGATGCCTGAAACCGCAGGTAGTACTGAACCCTATACATACTATGTTTTTTTCCCATACATACACACCTATGATAAAGGTATGATAGATATTTTAATATAGAAATCAGGTACAGTAAGAGATTAAAAACAGTAATTAATAATAAAATAGAACAATTGTGTAACAATACACTGTCAAAAGTCATGTAAATTCGGTTTCTCTCTCTCTCTCCAAAATATTGTACTGTACTCAACCTTCCTCTTGTGATGATATAAGGTGATAAAATGCCTGCCTGAAGAGATGAAGCAGGTGAATTGTGGAGGCATTGTGATGTGACGTTAGGTTACTACTAACCCGCTGATGATACATCAGAAGGAGGGTGCTCTGCTTCTGGACCACTGTTGACTGTGGGTAACTGAAATCATGGAAAGTGGAACTGCAGATAAAGGGGACTACCGTGTGGAAATAATTATAGTACATAACCAGGGTGATGTAATGCACGTATCATTCTACATCATTAGCCTTTCCTATGTCATTCAATGTTCTTCAAAAACGTGACTTTAACAGCTGAATAATATTCCATTGTGTGTATCTATCCAATAATTTAATGACATCTCTGTCATTTGACGTGTAAGTGCTTTCCAGTTTCCCCACTGTTATGACTGCTGCTGTGATGTACACCAGTTTACGTAGTCCTTATAAGGGTCTTTATCATCTCTGTATGTGAATCGCATATTTTACCCATCTCTGATATGATTTATTAGCATTGCTCCCTTTAAAGGTATTATACGGCGTTGTAAAAGAGTATTAGTATGACATTCACAGGATCCTGTTCCAAATCTGTTTTTCCATTGCTAATGGCCTTCTCTCTAGGAGATTTTGGTAAACCTCTCATCTCACTTTTCTGATCTGAAAAAATAAGGATCAATAACATCAGGTACTTCAGAGTTGTATTTCTTGAATAGGAAATGTGCACGATTCTATGCGTGCTGATCACACCTGAAGCCCATTGCTGTCACGTGTTAGTTGACCCTTCAAGACTGGGGCTTTCCCTGGCCTGGGAAGCGAGAGTCCTGGATTCTCCCAGGGACCTCTCCGAGCACTTAAACTAGATTCCTCTATCTCTAACATCCAAATGATTGACTTCCCATTCTAATTTTGCCATCCCCATGGGCATTTTCCCAAGGCTACCCTAGAACCTGAAGTTTGAGCTTCTGACACTTATTGGCAGAGTCAGATAGCTTCCGGCTGCACCTCTTTCTGCCCCGGGATCTCATCCCCAGGAGAAGCACACCTACACTGAGACCAGGAGGACGAGACAGTGACCTGCAGCCTGATGTCAAAACAACATCACTTTGTCCTTTTAGATTCTCCGTGCATATCGTGGCAGTTTTAGTATTCCTTGCCCCGGGTGTCAGAGGGGCATAACCAGGTCATGCAGACCTTACCTGCTCTTGTCATGCACAGACTATTCTGGTTTCTTCTTTTTTTCTTTGTGTAAACAGGGCAAATTTACGACAGCGAGCGACGTGTGGGCCTTTGGGGTGACTCTGTGGGAGACTTTCACCTTTTGCCAGGAGCAGCCCTATTCCCAGCTGTCAGATGAACAGGTCATCGAGAATACTGGAGAGTTCTTCCGGGACCAAGGGAGGCAGGTGAGAACTGCTGGGGATGGCTGGGTCTGGAGCTGGATGCTCTGCAAGGTGAGAAGAAGAGTCTTGACTGAGCCAGGTATCCTGAGCTGGAAGTTGGGCTGCCTGGGTGGCAGTCTTTGGTGCCTAATTTTCCAGATGGCCTGGAGGATGGACTGAGAGGTCCCCACTGACTCCTGCCCCACCATACCCTCTGCTTTATTCATATGGCAACCCATGATCACTGGAGGGGACAGCAGGGGTCAGTTGCATCAGGCTCCTCCTCAACTCAATGGTAGCAGGAAATAAAATCCTCTTTCTCGTGTTTGCTCTATTTCTTGATCTAGACTGTGTAGTTTGTCCTCCTAGTGGAAATACACAAGAACAAAAATATAAGTTTAAAAGTGAATAAGGGATTTATTGGTAGGAATCAACAATTTGGTTTGGACTAAACATTTAGCAATGTTTCTAGATTTACATGCTCAGAGATGATCAAGTGCATCCTGGACTGTGGCCTCCCAGAGCTCGGGAAAACCTGGATTCCCACGCTGACAAGGATCCCAATTCCCGGTCAAGATACTCCAAGATTTCTTTGGCTGACTCAGTTTGTAAAGTCCCCATGAGATGTAGAATTTAGGGCTTGCTGATGTGGCTAGAACTCTGACCACCCCACCCCTCTCCACACACACACACACACACACACACACACACACACACACACCGGAGCATGGCAGCTCAAGCTAACAGCTGGGGATGGAGAGAAAATAACTCGATTTTCCCGATTGCTTAAGTGTATTGGAGCAAGCGAAAGATAAGGGAATGACAAGAGATAGGACAATATGCAGGTTGAAAATAATAGGGAGAGGTCCTGGAATTTCATTTTATTTTGACACTCTGCACGTATTTTGGGAGCAGGGGACCCAAATTATCTATCTTGGTTATAAAAATAATTGCTTTCTTACCATGACAGATGGCAACTTTACTCCTGTGTGCAGAGATAAGTGAGTGGACCAAGGAAAAAATGGTTTTTCTCCCGGACTAATCCATCGTGACCCCAGGTTGACCTAGTTTCATTTTAATTTCTAACAATCTCCAGGATCTTATTTTTCTTATTTATTTTTGAATACTCAGCTTAAAAGGACTCACCATTTCGTCTTCACTAAATACTGGTTGTGAAGCAAATATGTTTTCACCGACCACCAAATGGTCGAATCGTGAAGTTAAGTAATTGAGTGAAGCCAAGGTCAAAATCAAATATTACCATTATATATGCTGAGTAAACGTCTCACCTATAGGCATAAGTTTAAATTGTCAACAAAAATTTATTGAATTGAGCACATTGATTACTAAACATAATTTATCAAAATTATACCTGGTTACATTTTACAACATTTAATTGCTTTGTATTTGATTGCTAAAATTTCAGTATTCACATCTTAAAAGTTTGACATTAGAGTGGAGGCACGGTCATTTCTCAACACTATCAGCTGCGAGGTGGGCTCTGTGGTCAGCAGACTCCTCTCCATGGAGAGGGGAGAGGTCTGGGGCCGGGGGTCATAGAGGACATGACGGTAGGAGCAATGTGGATGCTTTGCAGTGTCTGTGTCCGGCCAGGCTCCTGTTCAAGTGGGGGAGCTGAGACAACTCACCCGCTTGCCGCCCCTGCCATGATTGGCTCAGCCAAGATCAACCTCAACATGCGTGGGCTTTAAACAGAGGATCTAGTGTTCTAACCATTTGCTTTCAGTCTGAGACCTCTTTTTGCTTCAGGTTCATCTTTTGCGTGATGGTAGGGACCTCAGAGTGGTTCATCAGGAGATCCTGGTCCAGATGACTTGGCATGACAAGGGAAGGGGACAGGGGCCGAGATGAGCATGGGAAGAACAGGCACCTCACCTGTTCCAGTTACCAAGTTCAAGCGGAGAGGGAGGCAAATAAAACCACAATGCGGCTACACTTCCTCTTTGCCCTTCTTCTGAACATTCTCTTTTTTTGTTCACTTTTGTTTTCCAAGATTTACCTCCCCCAGCCTGTCATTTGCCCTGACTCTGTGTACAAGCTGATGCTCAGCTGCTGGAGAAGAGACACCAAGCACCGTCCTTCGTTCCAGGAAATCCACCTTCTGCTCCTTCAACAAGGGGACGAGTGATGCTGTCACTGCCTGGCGACATCCCGATGGCCCAGGTCCTTTTCATGAGACCTACCACTCACCCACGCCTAAGCCACTCCATCTGGACGTTGAATGGGCCTGGGAGGCGGAGGCTTGTTCACTTCTCTCTCCGTGTCCCTGGCCGCTCTTCACTCCACTCCCACACTTCTCTACTCCCCAACCCATATATACTCTTTTTTTTTTTTACATTAAAGAACTAAAAAAAGAAAAAAAAAGCCTAGGGCAGATAAAATCTAGTAAAGAAATCTTACTTAATATACCAAAGTGTTGGATAGCAGGCTAGACAATTTAGATAATTTATAAAGGTTAAATATGCTATGTTTATAAATGTGCAGATGCTACAATACTTCTTCTATGTCACCTTTTAAAATGTATTTCCAGAAAGAAAAACTTGAAGAATACTCATGTCTTAGGAAACATGAGATGAGGCTTAGGAAAAACAGTAAGTGTGGAGAATTGGATGGAATGGTTGGTATTCAGTAACTGATCATAGAGTTCTTGGTTTCCTAATTTGGCCCTCTGGACACTTCCTACTCTCTGCGCTTGCCTGTCCTGTCAAAGCAGACGATACATGCTTGAAAAACCCCGGCTTCTCGGAGTGGGTGTTTTGTTCATTTGTGGGCAGGGGTCAAGGGTAAGGTCTATACGGTCTACACGCATAGGCAACACAGGGGATGCGCAGAACAGAGGATGTCTGCTGCAAGGCTGTATGAAGGGGCGCTGTCACTTGCCAAAAAGGTACCTTGTGCATGGAAGGATTCTTGAACAGAGAATGGACATAGGAGAAGAGGTCTGTGGAGGACAGGTAACAGGTGTGCTATTCCCCTGTGATTTCTACAGAGGGTCCTCTTGTTCAGATATTTTCAGGTGTGTGTGTGTTGGTGAGAGCCTGGTTTTGAATCAGTGAAGACTGGTGTTTTGAGGTCTGGATCACAGGCCCTTTGGTTTATCTTCTCTAAGTCTTACAGCCCTCTTAGTGGATGCATCATCCCCTAGGGGACCCGTATCCGAAGGCTGTGTGCAATACACAGTAGATCTGTTCTGCGTATTTTCAAAATGTTGACCACTGAGGGCCAGTGAGGGAAAGGTACGAGCAGAGAGCTTTCCACTTTTCATTAGAGAAAGCCTGGCCAGCAGAAGACACAGCAGGCTGAATGGGCTACCTCCAGAGGGCGGGTGGTAGGCTGAAGAGTAGGCAAGAGAGGTGTAGGCTTTCAAACACGAGGTAAATGGTTGTAGGAGACGACATTTAATGTCCTTCTCACCCTAGGAGCCCTTGATTTCAGAGAGGCACGGGGAGAGCCCGAGAGGGAAGTCATTCACTGCTGCTGCTCCGTACAGACGCTCTGGCCTCAGGGATGGTGTGGGCAGCAGGAGAGAAATCGGGAAGGTCTGGGTGAGAATTCCTGGAAACATACGCTGTCATTTAGGAGTCCCCTCGGAAGAGATTGTGAGCTTTATGCTTCCCAAGGGCTCAGATGTAGTGGAAGCAGGAAGGGGGGCCTCTCAACTCCCACAGGGGAGAACAAGAAAAGGTTACAGAATAAACTTCCCGAGCTCAGAAGTAATAGTCTTAATGGTCTTGAGTCCTTGGGTCTGCTGCTGGAGCCCTTGCCTGGTCCCCCTTGTCACGGCCATTCGGGGACTTGAGATTTCTCCCCTGTTCAGCCCTCAAGCATCGCTCCAGGTGACAGCGGAGGCAAAGTTCCCCAATCCCCCAGATCATCGGGTGACCCTAGCAAATACCTTCCCCCACCGCTGTCCTTTGTCTCTGGGTTCCAGTCTCTCCCGGGACTAATTCTGTGGAGATGGTTGGTTTGGGGGTCAGGAGAGCATCGGTTTGGGAGCTTTGATCCTACTTCTGCCTCAAGCCCAGCATGTCACCTTGGACAAGTCCCTTTAGTCTTTCCGGACTTCGGTTTCCCTGTACGTAAGATGAGGAAATTGGATTAGACGGACTTGAAGCCTCTCCCAGGCCTGATATGAGCAGGGGTGTCTGGACAACTGGATCAACAGGTGATGCAGATTCCCTTACCTGACTGTGTCTCCTGCTCTGAAGATCGTGCTCAGTAGAAGGAATAATGGGGGGAACTACTACAATAGCGACAGCATCAGCTGCCACGTGGACAGTGCCTTAAAGTGTACCAGACCTTTCTACAGACATAATCTCATTTGATGTGTGCCGGGCCGGACAGGTTCTTATACCCGATACTCTGCTTTCAACACCAGTGCTAATTAACCTCATGTATTGGAGAATTCTCTAGAGACACAGAATCAATTAAGTACAGACATAAATATATATAATTTATTATAAGGGATTGGCCCACGTGGTTGTGGAGCCTCCGAAGCTCAGCATCAGCTGCCTGAAGCTGCAGCCCCGGGAAGCTGGGGGTGGTGTGCTTTTGAGAGACAGGCCGGGAGACTGGTGTCCTAGCTCGGCAGTCAGGGAGCAAGGATAGAGCCCCCCTTCCTCCATCTGGTTCATCCTTTCCCCATTCTCCCGTGGATTTGATGAGGTCCCCCCAGCACAGGAGAGGGGGAGGGCAAGGTGCTGCACTCAGTGCTCCAGTTCCCATGCTCCCGTCACCTGGAAACACCGTCACAGACACACCCCGAAGTTGTGCTGCATCCGGGCACCCGACTTCAGTAGAATTAAAGGGCCATGAAATCGGGCTGTTCTCCTGCACACCCATGCGTCTGGGAGGGCGACGTGCAGACCCTGCCCACGGCTTCTCTGTGTGACAAGAAGTAACAGCATCATGTCCCCATCTTTGCCTCATCTCTCCACTTCTTTCTTTTTACCCTTCTGCCTCGATGCACTGCCTTCCATGATCCCATAAAAAAAAAATAACCCAATCATCTTGAAAATGAACTTAATGCGTCTGGATTTTCGTCGCCTCGAGTCACAGAGCAACATGCTGCAAGTGGCTGGCAGGTCTGCTTTGGCAGGTAGAGCTGCCCCGTCCTGGGAGGAGGAAGCTCGTCTTCCAGCACAGACACAGGTCTAGCTTCTCACCTGGTCGCACCCACAGAGCCTCGCCCTACAGACCGAAGAGACCCAACACGGGACATGGAGAAGAAGGCCTAATACGTAGAAGTTAAAAGCAGTTCAAACCCCGATGAGAGGAATGCTAGCTGGGCATCTTTAGAAAAGGACGTAGGAAGACGGACAGGAAACCACGGGGCTTTGTTACATTTGTAGGGAGTCATCCTCTGCATGACATAAGTGGAAAAGTTTATGTCCAGATCGTGGTGTCGGATCGCCAGATTTAAATTCATACTTTTGCTGGTTAATGTGCTGATAACTAGGTCCCAAGCTTGATGCGTGGTCCAGACACACACGTAGTCAGCAGAGATCTGGAGTGGAGTGAAGCACGGGGCGGGGGGCGCGTGGCTTTCATGCTGTGGAAAGGTCACTTGCAAGTGCACGGGACAGTATCGCAGAGAGCATCGTAGGGAAGTGGAGTTGGAAATGAGGAGATGAGTGCGCAGGTGCTGGAGTGGGGAGGCTGGTGGGGAGGACAGAGAAGGCTCTGGGGAGTACCTGGGAGGGACCCAGGGCACCCTGGGCAGCGAGGTAGAAACAGGTGGCGCCGAAGCAGGAGAGCACATCTCTGGAGAGAGATCCGAGAGTGGGCAGGACAAGTAAGTGTCTCGAAGATAAAGGATGAATCTGTATAGAGAAAGAGGTTCTGGATGACAGAGATTTTAAAAGTATTAAGAAATGAAAAGTCAGGTGCAATGTATGGAAAGGAAGGGAGTTTTCAGAAAAGGCAAGTCCTTAGAGAAACAGGCAAGCAACCGTGGGGCGGGGGGAGGTCTTCTCATTTCAGTGGAGGCAGGGAAGGGGGGTGTGAGGGTGTCTGCAGATGCCAGGCCCCTGCGAGTGCTGGGGATACTGGTGCTGAGAGGGAACCAACTCCTCGCCTGAACTGCACTGTGTTTCCCAACTGCCACTTTGGACACGAGGACCTAGAAATAGGGTATTTATGGCATCTCATGGGTCTCTTCTCCCCCCTTCCCTTCCTTCCGCCAACCAAATCCATTTTAAATAATGCCTGTCATTGCTGTGCCCAGAAGGGCCACCGGGAAACATTGAAACAAGGGCTGAAGTTAGACGAGACCAAGTCTTGTTTGAGATCTACACAACGAGGTATGTGGCACATTGGAGCCATGTGTTTTCCTAGTTCCATCCAGACTTCCCACAAGAAAGCCATGATGTGGGGCTGAGCCATGTGTTTTGAGTAAAGGGGAACAGAAGAAGGGGAGTGTCTGCAAGAGGGAGGGCTGAGATGTTCCAAGGAAATATTCTAAAACAGAACAGCATCTGTTTTGCCCAAGATTGAAAAAAAAAAAAAAGAAGAAGAAGAAGAAGAAGAAGAGACGTAGAGTTAGGGCTTTGGTTACTCCAACATTTGGCTCTTAAGTCTTTGATCTGAACTTGCATTTATATACCTGCCATCTTGGTCTTTTCAGCAAGGCTCTGACCTCTGGCAGTACTTTGGTAGGCCCCGGAATATATCTGGAAGTTGCAGATCCTGCTTTATGCTGGGAGATCCTTCTGAATTGAAATTTAAGATTTTTATAGAAACAGATGAATGTCTTTTCCACTCGGTAAATGTCTTGGAATGCTGAATCAAGACAGAAAGACACCAGAATAGTAAATGGTGATTGGATTTCTGGCATTTTGAGTTCTTTGGCACAATTAGCTGCGTTGCCTGGTGGCAGACAAGTGGTGGGTAATTATTTACTTGCTGTGTATGTCTCTCTCTCTTTTTAAAACTTGTTATTTTGAAATACTTTAAGACTCACAAGACGTTGGGAAAGTAGTAGAGCGACCTTCCCCGAACGCCCATTGATAACATCTTACATAATCATGGTCTGTTTTCAGAATCAGAAAGTTGACATTTGAAACGCTATTAACTAAACAGAAGACCTCACTCAGATTTCACCACTTATTGTTTGTTTGTTTTAACATGCATTTATTTAGTTTCTGGATACTTCATCCCTTTCTGATTTGTAACCTGGTCTGGCTTGGATGCAGCAGGAAAAATACTATCTGGGTATAATTCTACAAAATTCTAAAGAGAGTAAAACAAATCAATCTGTTCCCTTATCAATGAGCAAAATCCTGCCTAGACTGCTTCCACATTTTTCTGACTAGTTTGGCTTTGGATTTGGAACCACAAGAGACAGTGAGATCTGCACGTAGCATGCTGGCTAGAGAATCAGGTGTGGGGCATTCCAGATGGTTCCTGCTGTTCCTACAAGTGAGTAGGATCTGTAGTGGTGGCAGGCAGGGGGCTTGGGGTTCAACCAGTATTTTGGTCAAGAGCTGGGTGGCACTTAGTTAATGGTACCAGCGCTGCCTTGTGGGAGGAATAGAGTACAATGGCATCGGATCCCCCAGCGTGTGATGAAACACAACATTTGGAATAGCAGAGACCTTCCATTTGCCTAAATATCCATTTTTAAACGGAATAACGGCTACATTGGACCAAACTAAATGTAAACACAGAAGCAACCTCAGGGGTGGGGGGTGTTGAAGGAGCTGTGGGTTTTGTGCAGGCATCTTCCACCTGCCCCCTTACTGGATCACAAGGGGGTTACTGGGTTCACACTGCCTACCGCATGTCCTGTCAAGTTCCAGACACATAGCGAGCACTCAGGAGGTATCTGCTGAGTGTTGTTTCTTGAATGAATAAAAGTCAGAAGCCGAAACTTGTCATCCAGTCTAAGTGGGGTGAATTTAGGGAGAACTGCTTTGCTATAATGCGGGGGCTTATTTTCAAATGAAGAAAGAGAAAAGTGCCCAGGCTCGTACCTGGTGAAGTACATTCTCCATTTGTGTATTTTCTAAGGATGAAATAGATGTTTGGAGATATCTCATTCTTTGGGGGTATTTAGACAGAAGTGCAAGGCAGTTCTCTACAAGGCACCCCCCACCCCCAACAAGAGCAGGGAGGGACTCTGGTCCCAAACGCAACCTATTTGAAACAAACTTTTTGGTTTCTCCAGCAGACACCTGTCGAGAACCTCTAAGGGTGAAGGATCAGAGTCCCCAGCTTTTGTGCATGTACAACATGCACAAAAGCATACGAAGGAAGAATCTGCAAAGAGGCTCAAGGGAAAGCACAATGTGATAAGGCGATCACTTTGCATGAAAACCTGTTTTCTTGCAAAGAGGCTTAGAATCAGTTGGAATTGGGTAGGGTTCCTGCAAACACACCAAGAGTTTGTAACCTAGCCTGTTCATTTTATGTCCTTTACTACTCATGATATCCTGTTCTCCCTGGTCGTCTGGCAACTTTTCCTGAGGACTGAGTTTCCGAACCAACAGGGCTGGCTCTTCCTCCGAGGAGGGAATATCTGGGCCTCAGTTTTGTGGGCTTGGGAGCATGATGTGTCTTGTCAAGGGGTAAAGAGCAAACCGATCGATCCCTGCTTAAAACTATCATAGTCATTCCCAAATAGAACACGTAAAAGTTCTCTGTATTAGAAAAAGGAACAAGATACCAATTGTATATTTTCTTTTCTTTATTTATTCTCTGTAAGTCTGTCAGATGATAAATTGTAAATAACAATGATTAAAGAAATATGCTACTGATGGATCCTTCTTTCTGTGTCAACGGCACCAGTTCTGGGCTTTCTTACCTTTACTCCTTACGGTCTTCCTGGAGAAGTGATGGGGTGGCGGGGGGAGGTAGGGGAAGCCAAGGGTGTGCCTGTTTGTTGGGGGATATCCAACAGAGGGTTGCTTACACAGGCCTCTCACATACTACTTGACTGTTTATTGGAGGAAAAGCATCTTGGTCTCTGGCACATCCAAACATACTAGAGATTGGGACTTTGTGTTGTCACATTAGTCCAGTTTTGGAGAATCCAGTCCAGAATTAACTGCAGATGCTTTATTGTTGTTGTTACAGAGTGGTCTTGTTTGATACATAGAGATCTCTTCTAATCCAAATATAATCTGCCTCAAGACCACCCAGGCATACAAAAAAATAACAAAAACTATGAACAACCAGAATACAGACTCTGTCTTCATAGGAGAAATTAAGATGAACCGTCACCCCCACCCCCGCAAAAAAGAAAAGAAGAAAAGAAAAACAACAACCATATTTCTCACTTGGTCCCTGAAAAATAAATTCATACTTTTAATTTTCTGAATAATTATATATTATTTCAGCAATGGCCATGATAAGAAAATGGATAAAAGTTTTCAGAGAATACTCAGAGGACAATAATTCACAAATGCACACTCTGACCCCCCCAGAGTCAGGGCTAAAGGCCAGGGATTCAAGTATCTATGTGGTGGGAGTGGGGTTGGAGACAAAGGAGAGAAAAAGAAAACAGGAACAACAGAGGTGTTCAGAGAGGCACAGTTCTACTGTTAACACCTGCTTCAAGCTTTAGAGGAAGGTGAGAGTGAGATGTATTTGCACACGATATGGCATATATGTACTATGCATGTGTCTGAGTGATTTGTTATCATTTAGTGCCAATTATACTTTTATGGAAGTATAAAGGAAGAAGCATGCACACTTACCTTCTGGTCTTGAGTCACACCGAATAGCTGCTTATGTATAAGGCACATACTCACCTCTTCCTATCTGATGAAATGGGTGAAATCCCACTCTCGAAGTAGGTTTGGGCCAGGCTGAATGTGTAGTGATTTGAAGAGGAGACGGATGAAAGCTACCCACAAGAAAAGCTACTTGGCCCCGCTGGCAGCTGTTCTTTTGCCCTGTTTGTAATCCAGAGGCAAGTCAATTCTGGAGAGGTTTCTAGGGACCCAAAATAGATGTCAGTCGTGGGTGCTAAAGGTACCTTTACTCATCTTTGTCTACCTAAGGACTATGTCGGGCACCACCAAAAGAGCCAGAAATCACTTTCAGCATTTACGGTAGAGGCAAATTTATTATTTTATAAGGTAGTAAATAGTCAAAGGTGGAAGCGCTACATTTACCATTTTTTAAAGATTTATTTATTTATTCATAAATAATAAGAGACACACAGAGAGAGGCAGAGACACAGGCAGAGAGAAGCAGGCTTCCTGCAGGGGCATGATGTAGGACTCGATCCCGGGACTCTGGGATCACGCCCTGAGCCGAAGGCAGGCTCTCAACCTCTGAGCCACCCAGGCGTCCCTACATTTACTATTCTGTTCAAGGGGCCAAGGGTTGTCAGGGATAAATGGGATCTTTGTATACCAATTTCCTCTTTTTCCAGGAAAACAGCCCAGGAACAGCATAAACTCAAGATGACTAGTTCGGGATGATGAAAGCCATACTTACCTGTGAATACACTGTAATTATAACAGTTACTGACTGTTCTCCTGGTCTCTCTAGCACCTCTAGTGGTTCATCCCATCTCGTGAAGGTTGAAGGACCTTGAAAGGTCCAACCGGAATTGAAAGAGGGAAGCAAAGCCCAAGGTTTCCTCGCTTGGATTGGATGGACATCATGCTAGTAGGAGACTGCCGTTCTTGCTTTGGGCTCCCTGTAGTGGGTCCTACACTGGTTGTCATCCCAAGATCGTGGTGATTCTGACTCTCCAAGAGCCCAGGCCCTCCTCTGTCTTTATAGGAATGAGTTTTTCATAGAATAGCCCCACAATCTTATTCCTTTTATGTGTCACTTCTGAGCCCTAGGACATTTTAAAAGGAGCCTTTGGGTCTAGACATTAAATATTGGGGTTAATTTTATTCTAGAACTCCCAGAAAATATTGTTAAAGCGTGGTCTCTTTAGAATGGTGGGAAGTGGCATAAGGGTAGGAGCTGAGTTCCACCCAGATGACAATAAAGACATTTTAATGGCTTGGGAATCTAAATATTCAAGTAACTGGATTTATTTTTTGAATACGATTTTACGGTATAAGATCACTACAGTAGTCAATATTGTTACTGGACAGAGAACCAGTTCTGAACTCAGGTTTGACTGCTTACCTGTGGAAATCAACACTCGAGAGACACGTGACAGTGAGAAAGCACAGTTTGCTTTATTCAGGAAGCCGGCAACCTGGGATGATGGTGGATTAGATTCTCCAAAGACCATTTTCCCATCCAGGCAAAGGTAGAGGATTTTAAAGGGGAAGGCATGGGAGGAGGGAGGGGGTGGGCTATACGGAGGAGAAGCATGAGCCCAGGTGGTTAGTTGAATGTTGACATGACCCTGAACGGGCCTGCCAGTATCCACGGCAGCTGTTTTTGAATCTATGTAGTCAGATCTTATCTTCTGGGGAAGTTTGGTTCTTTACTCCTTAAGGCCAGTGGTCTGCAGATTTCAAGGAAAGTAGGTTAGTTCTGCTGCAGACCAAGGGACTTAGGTCAGCAAGCAGGGAGCGCGTGAGCTAGAAGCAAGTTGGAGTGCTGTTACAATATCAAATTAATCAAGACCTCTATGATTTCAGAAGCCAGTATAAATGCTATCAGTCTCCCGTTGCTCATTGGGCCCATTGCTGGGCATAAATAATTGAAACTCTGAAAAAGGCCATGAAGTAGATTAAAGTGTGTTCCCTAGAGTCGGGCACATGGTGCGTGGAGTTCCTTGGTGTGAACCTAGTGATGGCCACCTTGTTACCGAAGCAGGACACATACAGAAACCTGGAATAGGCCTTAGAAACGTCAAGAGCAGTTTGGCTGAAGATCCTTTTACATGTTGAATCTAGTAATAATAATAATAATAATAATAATAATAATAATAATAAATGGGGCTTGTGCTTTGCATCCTTCCCTTTTTATTTCATTTTCCTAATAATCCATTGCTACCATATTTTCCAAAAGTACCCATCTGGGATGGCTTGGAAAACCATAAGGGGCCCTTTACCACGGAGTTTGAGAAACACTGAAGTAGGAGCTTCCAGTACAGCGCCCATAATGTCCCATGAAGTTCTTGGACACTCTGATTCATGCCATGTTCCAAATTTTGAAAACTGGTAAATTCATGCGTGATTCTACAGACACGTCTTACTGAAATCCATGTTCATTTTTCCAAAGGCGATTTTTTTTTTTTTTTTTTTAAGAGAAAGAGCAGGTCTGGGGTCACCAGAAGCCGGCCGGCAAAGCGCTACAGCCCCCGTGTTCCTAGAGCCACGGTTCCAAAAAAGGAGTGGAAAACAAGGTCGACAATACCCAAACCGTTCGTTCCTAGGCCCAAGCCCTTCCCCCAGGCCGAGGCGTTTGCAGGCGGAGACGCACCGCGCGCCCCCGAGCCCCGCGCCCGCCGCAGGGAGCACCTGGACCGCGAGCCGCAGGTGCGGGAGGGGCGGCGCCCGGGGACACCTGCGCCCTCGGGCCGGACTCTCCGGATTGGCCCGGGCGCGGCCCCGCCCCTCGGCCTAGGTCACCCCACGCCGACCCCGGCCCCCGGAGCGCAGCGCGGGCCGCGATTGGAGGGCCCAGCGCGGAGGCCGTGACGTCAGGGCCCTGGCGGGCGCTGATTGGGCGGCGGCGGCATCGTGGGCGTGGCTTCGGCGGGCGCCGGCCTCAGCTGCCCGGGAGGGAGGCGGCGGCGGCGGCGGCGGGAGGCCATGCGGAAGGTGGTGTTGGTCACCGGGGCCAGCAGGTGAGGCGCCCTCGGCGGTCAGGGGCCCCAGGGGGCGGGGGTGTCGTTGCAAACAGCACGGAGCAGACCCCTCGACACATCTTAGTGACCCTCCGGGCCGCCTGGGTGGCCCAGGCCGTGACTCCGGGGTCCCGGGATCGAGTCCCGCTACGGGCTCCCTGCATGGAGCCTGCTTCTCCCTCTGCCTGTGTCCCTGCCTCTCTCTCTCTCTGTGTCTCTCATGCATAAATAAATAAAATCATAAAAAATAAAAATCACCCTCCACCTGATAAGACGTGGGAAGAGCGCAAATAACCCCTGCTGCCACTTCCTAGTTGTTCCAGGGCTGCCCCTGTGGACTCAGCCTCTTCTGTGAAGATCGCGGGCAGGATGACACCCATCAGACCATCAAACCATTCTGTTTGCTTGCCTGTTGCAGGGGGAGGTCTTGAGGGATTAAGGCAGAGAGGATGGGTCAAATGTCATCCCATCAGACGTGCCCTAGCCACACCCCCCTTAGCTGAGCCAGCGGCGCAGGTGTCTGTGAGTGTCCTCCCCTGGGTGCCCTGAGCCCCCCACCTGGTGCTGCAGGAGCCCAAGGCCTGGAGGCAACTCAGAGCTGTTTTGGTGTGTTTCTTTGTTTTGCGGATATCGTGATGGATGCCATTGGATGTTCATAGGAAGGACCCACTCTGCTCAGGGAAGAGGAATAAACGTGCATGTATTTGATGCTCTGCTGGGACGGCCCCGGCTTGGGGTGCTGCCCTGCCCAGCTGGTCTGCCTGGTGCCCTCAATCCCCATGCACTTGCAGATGCCATTTCTGAAGTGGTTCATCTGTCTTTGACCTGTGCCCTGCCTGCCCCCCCTTCCCAGGTGCCCGTCTCCTGTTTCCTCTCTTTACCTGCTGCTTAATCAGTGGAGTCTTCAATTAGGAAGTGGCAGCAGGGGTTATTTGTCCTTACTGAGGGGGACCTGCCTCCTGCTGTGTTAGGTAAAGAGCCATCTGTTCCTTACTGGGAATGGCTCTTGCTCTTGCTCGGGATGGTGGCAGCGATGCCAAC